TCCCTCAAAATTTCTAGCCCAAGGCTTCAAAATTGTAGGGAATGGGGGCTCCTGGATGGCACAATTGGTTAAGCATCTGATTCTTGGGAGGCCCGGGGAGTCGATGGTGTCCGCAATGGCCCTTTGGAGCTGAGGCTGGCCCGGGCCTTCCTTGCAGGGGTCAGGAGAGGCTAACTGACGGTGGCGGGGGGGGGGTGGGGGGGAGGCCACCCGAGACGGGCAGTGGAGGCTCATCACCGTCACCTTCAGGTCGACCACCCGCCGCTTCTAGCTCCCTTCCCGTGGGCCCGTATTGATTTTGGCTCAGGTCATGATCTCAGTCATAAGATTGAGCCCCAGGTCAGGCTCCAGGCTCAGCATGGAGTCTGCTTGAGATTCTCTCTCCCTCTCCCACTTGTTCTCTCTCTCTCTCTTTCTTTCTAAAATAAATATTAAGGAAAAAAACACCATGAAATTTTAGGGATTGGAGTGATTCTGCTGCTGTTGCCCCTTGAGTTAACATCTTGGATAGGCTGAGACTCTGGAACTGTAGGTTCCATGAGAACAGGGACTAACTATACCTATTGAGGGCTTTGTTTTACATAATGCCTGACACAAGTGAATGAATGCTTGATCAATACGTCTTTTTTTTTTAAAGATTTATTTTATTTATTTATGAGAGAGAGAGAGAGAGGCAGAGACACAGGAGGAGGGAGAAGCAGGCTTCATGCCAGGAGCCCAACGTGGGACTTGATCCCGGGACTCCAGGATCGCGCCCTGGGCCAAAGGCAGGTGCTAAACCGCTGAGCCACCCAGGGATCCCCTTGGTCAATATTTCTGAATGAATGAATGGTTGCAAGTTAAAATGTTTTAGAAGGCAAAAAATGCAGAAACTTCTAAAAAGTAAACCAAAGTTAGTCATAACATTTGGCACCAATGAAAGTCAGGCCATCTTGGCCCTTAGAAGTAAAAGCATGTCCCAAAGTTTTTTTTTTTTTTAATTGTCTTAAGTAACTTATAGATACGTCAAATGTACATGAAGAATAAATTGACGATGCCTGAGAGTGGTTCAGAACAGTTAGTACCTTAAGATAATTTAAATTGCTTTTAGAGGTTCCTGGGAAGCCAGAGACGGTTGACTATAGGACAAATACAGTGTATTTATTTCATGTGTTGAAATCATCTCTGCTTTTGGAGAAATTAGTTTTGGAGTCTGTCACCATTGAATCCTCTTAGTGAATGTAAGCTTTGAACTGCAGAGTGTAGAGATGTGGATAGACAGAACCAGGAAGCACTCTGCCTGCCAAATGAACTGGAAAAGGCAAGTCTGATGATAAAATCTTTCTCACAATGGGCTGGGATTCAGCTGGCTTCCTCTCTTCTACCACATGGGAAGCACCTGTCCTCCTCTTTCCTTAAAATTGGCTCATTCCATCTATTCCCGTAACTCAGATACTTAGGAGTTGAGAAATAGCATGTCCTCTGCTTAGACAGATGGCAGGGCAGTGTAGGGAGAAAGCCATAAATTATTCTACTTGCTAATATAAAGTACTTTCTGAATACCCTGCTTGTAATGCTATTGTAGGTGTGATTCCTGTATTTTATGAGGCTTGAATTCTGCACCCTCTCAATCCCGTGAGTTCCCACTTCTATTGCCTTCTGAAACCTCACCATAGCAAGAGCTCATAAAAGATCCAAGTCCACAATGACCTGTCTCTTTCTAGGAGAAAAACCTCCAAATGACTGATAGCTTGAAATTGTATGGAAACATAACTCTCACTCCTTTATAATTCCTGAGTGCAATATAATAGGATTATAATGAAATTGCAGGTAGGTATGCTGCTAGCAAGCAGCATGTGGAACTAGAGGAATAGCAGGTGACTGTTCATAAGACCTTTTTTTTTCAAATATTCGAGATCTTCATGAGATTTGGGCAGGATTTTTACTCTAGCATTTCATATAAAGTCCCTTGTCAAGTGCGTATATAGTTCAGACCACAGGATGCCCAGAAAATATTCTGTGAGAGATAGGCTTGTGGGGTTCCTGGGTGGCTCAGTTGGTTGGGTGTCTGCCTTCAGCTTGGATCATGGTCCTGGGATCCTGGGATTGAGCCCAGCATCTGGCTCCCTGCTCAACTGGGAGTCTGCGTCTCACCCTCCACCTGCTTGTGCTCTCTCTCTCTCTCTCTGTCAAATAAATACAATCTTAAAAAAAAAAAATACTTATGGGGAGCCAACCTAATTCCTCAGGGTCATGATCAGCAGATCTGCAAGCACCTAGTATAAATTATGTCCAGAAGACACCAGTATTTAAATATTTAGTCTTTACTCCATGCCAATAGGCATGAGTGAACATAACTGACTTTTTTAAGGATATACAGTTGAGACCTCATTTAAATCTCATAACTTCAGGGGCACCTGGACTTTTGATTTCGGCTTGGATCATAATCTCAGGGTTGTGAGATCGAGCTCCATCAGGCTCTGTGCTGGGTATGGAGCCTGCTTAAGATTCTCTTCCTCTCCAACTGCTCCCCCACCACCCCCTCCTGTCCCCGCTGTGCTCTTTCTCTCTAAAAAAATTTTTAAAAGTCTTATAACTTCATTGTAATTCCCAATATGTCACCAATACCTCCTAGGCAATATTTTAAGATTAAAGGATATCTGCAATACATATTATATGACAGGTTTCCAGAGCTGAGGGGGTCTCTAATTTGCCCTTCAAAAGAGTAGGGAAGCCCAGGTGGCTCAGTGGTTTAGTATCGCCTTAACCCTGGGGCCTGATCCTGGAGACTGGGATCGACTCCCACATCAGGCTTCCTGCATGGAGCCTGCTTCTCCCTCTACCTGTGTCTCTGCCTCTCTCTCTGTGTGTGTCTCTTATGAATAAATAAAATCTTAAAAAACAAAAGTGTGAGAGTCTAGTTTTCCTTCTGCAACCAGCTCCTCTGCTAAGATATACCCAGTGTGTAACCATTTAGCTGAGTACAAATTTTCTCATCTTTGGGGCAGTTTTAATCAGTTTTACTCGGGACCCTGGGTGGCTCAGTCAGTTAACTGTCTGCCTTTGGCTCAGGTCATGAGTCCTGGGGATTGAGCCCTACATCGGGCTCCTTGCTCATCCGGGAGTCTGCTTCTTTCCTGCCTCTGCTTGCTGTTCCTGTGTTTGTGCTCTGTCTCTCGTTTTCTTTCTCTCTAATAAATAAGTAAAATCTTTTTTTTAAAAAATCACTTTTACTCTTTATTTTTTTATTGAATTCATTTAACATGGGATCCCTGGGTGGCTCAGCGGTTTAGCGCCTGCCTTTGGCCCAGAGCCTGATCCTGGAGTCCCGGGATCGAGTCCCACACTGGGCTCCCTGTATGGAGCCTGTTTCGCCTTCTGCCTGTGTCTCTGCCTCTCTCTTTCTGGGTCTCTCATGAATAAATAAATAAAATCTTTAAAAAAAATTGAATTCATTTAACGTGTAACATTTGTGGAAGTTTAAGGTATACAGCATGTTACTTTGATACATTTATATATTATAATGTGATCTTCAATGTAATGATATTTATCACAGTACATAATTATATACAATATTATGGTCTATATTATAATTAATCGGGGATCCCTGGGTGGCGCAGCGGTTTAGCGCCTGCCTTTGGCCCAGGGCGCGATCCTGGAGACCCGGGATCGAATCCCATATCGGGCTCCCGGTGCATGGAGCCTGCTTCTCCCTCTGCCTGTGTCTCTGCCTCTCTCTCTCTCTCTCTCTCTCTCTCTCTCTCTCTCTGTGACTATCATAAATAAATAAAAAATTAAAAAAAATAAATATAATTAATCTTACTCTTACACTCTTAATCTTGTGCTTTTTTCCATGTTATAAATTTTAGCATGCAATCAAAAGGAAATAAACAGATATAAACAAAAATTTGTGTGTAAATATATATCACAGCTTGTTTACAGGGACTGATGAGAAGAATTTTCCTTTAGTCTGAGGGGTATGAATAGTTGTTTTCTTAAACATTTGGCTAGTTTTTTTGTGAAATCTTAACAACTGTTTTCCTTTGTGTTTTGGCAGCTAGAAGGCTAAGGATCAAATTTGTGGTCTGTCTCTGTCAAGTATATAAACATGGATATATATCAGCATTCATTCATTCATTTGTTTACTTATTTATTTAAAGATTTTATTTTTTTATTCATAAGACACAGAGAGGCAGAGACAAAGGCAGAGGGAGAAGCAGGCGCTTTGTGGGGAGCCCAATGTGGGACTCGATCCCAGGTCTCCAGGACCTGGTCTGGAGGCAGGCGCTAAACTGCTGAGCCACCCAGGGATCCCCTCAGCATGTATTTGTGTGTGTGTATGGACACACACACACACACACAGATGTGTATGCATACATAAATACATACATACACATATATACGTATATAATAGCATAGATGAACCTTACTGCTTGATTCTTCATTGTCCTTTGGTCCTGAAAATGAATGTAGATTTCTGCTAGAGATTTTTCCAAAGGGGCATTCTGAGGGTTTTGCCCAGCATATACCAATAAGTTTCCCAGAAATCCTCTAGATTAGCTGCTCAGATGTTTCAATTGCCCTTATTCAGCTGGTGGGTCCTCTTGCTGCTGTTTCTCTCTCTGACCTATACCAACTCTGCTCTGCATGGCGCCATGGACATGGAATTAATTTCTTTTTCTCAGTGACTATTTTTCTTGGGAAGATGCTGATGAATAAAATTTTCTGCCTCATCATGTAAGAAAAAGAACGTATCTTGGGCAGCCTCTGTGGCTGCCTCTGCCTGTCTCTGCCCCCCCCCCTCTCGGTGTGTGTATCTCTCATGAATAAATAAATTTTAAAAAATTAAAAAAAAGAACATACCTTTAACAACTCTGTAATAGAAAAAAGAAAGTACCTGTAGATTGTGACTTAGAACTTAAGGAAATCTCCTGGGTTGATGCTTGGGGTTCATTTCTTAAAGGTTTATGTGATGATTTGAGTTTAATATTCTTAAAATTTGTTCCTTTTTTCCCCCCTAGGTGAATGTTGGATGTGTACCAAAAAAGGTAGAATTTTTATTTCTTCTTCCTTTCATACTCCTTTTACATATTTGATAAAGAAAAGTGTTGATTTATTAGCTTAGAGTGAGTGAGTGAGATTATATCTAGGTCCATTAATTAGGACTGGTCAATCTGTGCAGGATTGCTTTTTCTCAATTTAATTTACTGAATGGAATCTTCATAAGTATTCCCATTTAATTCTGTAGCCTCATGAATTCTCTTAACTATGGTGATTTTCACTCCTAGTATCTGTGGTACAGGGCACACTGAATGAACTTGTCCTTTACCTGTGACAAAAGAGGAAGAAATGGAAACACTTATTTCCAAAAGCTGCATCTTGCTTATACTGGCAAATTGTTTTAACTCTACATTTAAATGTGCTTTCAAAACATGTTATAATCCTAAATTTAGAAACTTTTGTTACTGAGATTTCATTCTAAACTGGCATTTTTTTTTTTTTTTTTTGTAACAGGTAAGCAAATGTTCCTAATCTCATCAGTGACACATACCTGAGTATAATGGCAGAAGGGTTTTTTATAATCTCTTCCCTAGTATAAGTAGGTGGGGTTTGGGTTTGGGTGTGTGTGGGTGTTTTATCATAGGAAAGTTTCTTTTTTCTGTGGGACACTTTTCCTCAATTATTTTCTTTCTCTTTGGTCTTTGATTTTGGAATATGTTCTAATTGGAGTCAAGCAATTATGATACGTGAATTATGTAAATCAGTTATAAGGGGTTTTATGTAGTTTAAACCAGTTATGGTAGAAAGTCTGTTAATTGGTGCTACCTCATTATTTTAAAATATTTTCTGGGCATAGTAGCCTGAGATTGTAATATTTTGTTCCCATATATTATATGTCATTTATTTCTTCTGTTCTGATGATACATGCAGGACACTTACCTAATATTTTCATAGGGCTCTACTGACTTCAAAGCGCTTTTGCATTTTTGAAGATGAGTTGGTAATTGCCTCTTGTTTTCTAGAACAGCCTGAAGCCTGGAGTAACTGCCCTCTAGAAGGGTAGAGTGAGACAGCAGTAGAAAAGGAATCAGATGGATAGACCTGCTACTACCCTCATTAGGATGAGCCTAGAAGTCCAATGTAGTTCATATAGAGCACCTTCTCCAGAGGGTGTCTGATGCTGTAGCATCATATATAACATGAATTGGAAAAGAATAAATATGATACCAGGACACCTGAGTGGTTTAATGGTTGAGCGTCTGCCTTTGGCTCAGGGCGTGATCCCAGTGTCCCGGGATCGAGTTCTGCATTGGGCTCCCCACAGGGAGCCTGCTTCTCCCTCTGCCTGTGTCTCTGCCTCTCTCTCTGTCTCTCATAAATAAATAAAATATTTAAAACTAAATAAATGAGCATAATACCTCATGACGGGATGCTGTATAGTGTTTATTAAAATAATTTATTTTGTAGTATTGACAAAGCTTTCATATGTATTATTTAAGATAAACAATCTAGCGGATAAAATGGTTAATTTTGTATCATGAATTTTACCTCAATTTAAAAAAAGGAGCAGAGTCCAACAGGGTCATCGCTTCTTCATCTTTAGACATAAAGGGAGAACAGTACAAAGAAGGAATCTAAGGCTTGTCAAAAATGGAGTCTCAGGCTTGTCTGACAAAAATGATAGTTTGTCATCTAGAGTTTTGGCTGCCAACTTGAATTCAGTCATCATGATGATCAGTTGGCATAAAAGGCCTTTACAGATGTTAGGCTACATTCCTCAGAGATGCAACAAACCTTTGAGTTCCAGGTGTCTGATTACACAGGTCCTTAAAAGGACATGTTCGTAGGTACCGAGTTTATGACAGGAATTCATTCTCTTAAGGTTTTTAGTCCTCATCCTGATCCCATAGCTTCCTCTAAATCACTTTACTATAAATATAAAGCTGCAGATGCAGTTCCATTTCCTAGAACTAATCACAGAAGATAGGGCTTCAACAAATCTGAAACTTAAAATGTAAGCAATAATAAATTTTTTTAAAGATTTATTTATTCATGAGAGACACATAGAGAGAGGCAGAGACATAGGCAGAGGAAGAAGCAGACTACCTGCAGAGGAGCCCAGTGTGAGACTCGATCCTGGGATCTGGGATCACCCTGAGCCAAAGGCAGATGCTCAATCACTGAGCCACCCAGGTGTCCCAGCAATAATAAATTTTACTGGAAGGCTTGGGAGGTTTATAACATCCTGCCTCTATAGGGTTTGGTTTTTTGTTAAGATTTTATTTGTTCATAGAGACAGAGAGAGAGGGGCAGAGACACAGGCAGAGGGAGAAGCAGGCTCCACACAGGGAGCCCGACGTGGGACTCAATCCCGGGTCTCCAGGATCACACCCCAGGCTGCAGGCGGCGCCAAACCACTGCGCCACCGGGGCTGCCCTATAGGGTTTATAATGTAGAGAATTTAATAGAAATAATTCCCCACGACATTTAGCCGCTTCCCTGCAAAATCTGTCTGGTCATATTTCTGAACTTTTAAAATGTTTAGTTTTGTTTTTAGTTTAAAGTTCATTATTTTTATTTGCCATTATATACTTTTTTTTTTTTTAATGATAGTCACAGAGAGAGAGAGAGAGAGAGAGAGAGAGAGAGAGAGAGAGAGGCAGAGACATAGGCAGAGGGAGAAGCAGGCTCCATGCACCGGGAGCCTGACGTGGGATTTGATCCCAGGTCTCCGGGATTGCACCCTGGGCCAAAGGCAGGCGCCAAACCGCTGCGCCACCCAGGGATCCCTATAGTTACCTTTCATACAGGATTTCTTTTTTTTTCTCAGGACTCATGTACTACTGTTGTGGCTACTTTTTTTCTTTTCTCTCTTTTTTTTTTTTTTTTTTTTTTTTTTACAGGTAATGTGGAACACAGCTGTCCACTCTGAATTCATGCATGATCACGTTGATTACGGCTTTCAAAGTTGTGAGAGCAAATTCAATTGGCGGTAAGAGTTAATGCTCAGAGGGCTCTGTTTACAAATATAAATATTTTTCTTTCATGATTAAATTAACCATAAACTTTTTTGGGAGGGTGTTACAGTGGTAAAATATATATAACCTAAACTTTGGAGGTGATCGATGTATCTGTGGCCTAGCTTGTGATGCTAGTTTTACAGGTATATGCTTCTCTCTAAATTCCTCAAGTTGCATACAGTAAATATGTACAGTTTTTTGTATGTTGGTCTTACCTCAATAAATGATTTTCAAATACACACAGGGTCCATTTTAGTTATTTTTAAGTTGTCAATACAAAGTCATTAAGTACATTCCTAGGGGGATGCCTGGGTGGCTCAGCAGTTGAGCATCTGCCTTCAGCTCAGGACATGATCCCGGGCTCCTGGCAAGGAGCCTGCTTCTGCCTCTGCCTATGTCTCTGCCTCTCTCTGTGTGTGTCTCATGAATAAATAAATAAAAATTTTTAAAAAGAAAAAAAAAGTACATTCCTAGTGATGTGCAACCATCACCACCACCCCTTTTGAGAACTTTTCCATGGTTCAGAACAGAAACAAAGGGTTTGTTAGATAAGAACTCCTCCTCTCCCCGGTATCACTATCCTACCTCCTGTCTCTATGAATTTGCCTATTTTAGGTACTGCATACGATATTTGTCCTTTTATGCCTGGCTTATATCACTTAGCATACTGTTTAGAGAATTTATCCACATTGTGGCATGTGTCAGAATTTCATTCCCTTGCAAGGCTGAAAATATTCCCTTGTGTTGAGACCACATTTTGTTTATCCATTCATCCTTCAGTGGACTTCAAGGTGGTTTCTACCTTTTGTCTACTGTGAATATTGCTGCTGTGAACATTGATCCACAAGTCCCTGCTTTCAGTTCTTTCAGGTCTATACCTCGAAGTGAAATTGCTGGTTCAGATGGCAATTTTATTATTATTTTTTTAATTTTTATTTTTTCCCCACTTCCTCAAATGACAATTTCATGTTTAACTTTTTTTTTTAAAGATTTTATTTATTTATTCATGAAAGACATAGAGAAAGGCAGAGACACAGGCAGAGGGAGAAACAGGCTCCATGCAAGGAGCCCAATGTGGAACTCGATCCCGGGTCTGCAAGATCATGCCCTGAGCCGAAGGCAGACGTTCAATTGCTGAGCCACCCAGGCATCCCTCATGTTTAACTGTAAGGAACTGCCATGAACTTTTAGAAGTCATCAAATTTTCAAAAATTTAGCAAATCCAATCATTTATTCAACACATATTTATTGACTAGCCACTCAGTACTAGGCACTGTGCCAAAGCAACTCTCCCTGTCTTCTCTGCAGAGAGAAATCCACATCCTGTGGATGCCACCTGAACATTTCCCTGGAATAAGGGTTCTCTATGTGTGGCAGGGCAGATGGACACGGGAAAGGGCAGCTGCCTTCAGATATACTCACCCATGGGGTTCTCGTTGACTGTTCTGTGTGTAATTCTCTGCTGACAGAGTGTTCAGGGACAGTGCCCCAGTAACTAACTAAAAGGGGAGAGAATCCTGTTTCTCAGTACTGACTCAAGTTTCACTGCAGGGTTATAAAGGAAAAGCGTGATGCCTACGTGAGCCGCCTAAATACCATCTATCAGAATAATCTAACTAAGGTGAGTGTTCTGGGTTTGGAACTTTGAGAAGGAGCTGTTCTCTCTGCTGGAGTAGGTTATCAGTCTGGCTGGACAAAAACGTAGCCTTTGCACATATTTCTTGTTGTTTCTTTTATTTCTTTTGCAAATAATGATTTTGAACAAGTCTGTGACTCAGTAGACCTGTCTTTTTTCTACAGAGTGGGCAGTGCCTACCATGATTGGTAGACCAGGTCTCACATGATGGCTGTGCCTTGAGTAGGTCTGGCCTGCAGTTAGTTCTAGAAACCAAAAATAAGTAAGAGACTGATTTAGGGACACCTGGGTGGCTCAGTGGTTGAGCATCTGCCTTCAGCTCAGGGCTTGATCCCAGGTCTGAGGATCGAGCCTGCGTCAGGCTCCCTGCAAGGAGCCTGCTTCTCCCTCTGGCGAGGTTTCTGCTTCTCTCATGAATATATAAAATATTTTTTAAAAATAAATAAGTGTATTTAAAAAAATAAGAGCCTGATTTATATAACAGCATGCCAGCTTATTAATTAAAATCAGAAGTACTGCCTGGCTGGAAACCTTCCATTGTTCATTTGCTCACAGCAATCTCGTCCTTGGCTACTTATACTCAAGAGAAAATTATGGTTCAGAAGGTTGCTTTTGTGAAAGAAGTCTGATCAAGAACATGGGGCAAAGGTGTGTTTACCTTCAGCAAATATATATTGTCCTTTGCTGGTCTGAGGCTTTTTTCTGCCTTGGTGCTTAAATGTCATACTTCTTCCCCTAGGGGCTACTGGAGACATCAACAAACAGTGTACCAGCCAGCTGTCCTTCTTGACAGCATATGTCATCCCACCCTTCATTTGCCTTTGTGGTTTCACTTTGCAGTTTCTAAGATTTCTGCCTACTTTAGATTGTATTTAGATCAGTAGGTTGTTGGTGCTATTTGAGCCACCATAATCTGATTGGCAGCATGTTTATAAACCAACTTTTAGAGTGAATTAGTTCTATAAATGGCTCATGTATTTTTATACTGATTCTTGTTCATGGGTTTATTTTTTGGAGAGTGATATTTTCTGACCTTTATCTCCAGTTCAAGGGGGAAATGTTGGGAGGCCTTCACCCCCCTTTGCACTGCTGACAAGAGATTTTAAGACTGTTAGACATGACCACAGAAGTACTACTAGCTATATACTAAAACACTGACATCAATTTTTAAAAATTTTTTATTAATTTGTTTTTAAAGATTTTATTTATTTATTCATGAGAGACACAGAGAAAAAGGCAGAGACATAGGCACAGGGAGAAGCAGGCTCCCTGCAGGGATCCCAATGCTGGGCTTCATCCCAGGACCCCGGGATCACGCCCAGAGCCAAAGGCTGATGCTCAACCGCTGAGCCACCCAAGTGACCCTCAGTTTTTTTTTTTTCAAATGGAGCAAGCTGAGATCCCTGGGTGGCGCAGCGGTTTGGCGCCTGCCTTTGGCCCAGGGCGCGATCCTGGAGACCCGGGATCGAATCCCACGTCGGGCTCCCAGTGCATGGAGCCTGCTTCTCCCTCTGCCTATGTCTCTGCCTCTCTCTCTCTCATTCTGTGTGACTATCATAAATAAATAAAAAATTAAAAAAAAATACAAATGGAGCAAGCTAAAACACTTTTGCCAAAGAGCTAGGATTTGCTCAGGGAACAGCTTTTTTTTTTTAATCACAAATTTTTTTAAAAGATTTTATTTATTTATTCATGAGACACACACACACACACACACACACACACACACACACACACACACAGAGGCAGAGACACAGGCAGAGGGAGAAGCAGGCTCCATGCAGGGAACCTGACGTGGGACTCGATCCCAGGTCTCCAGGATCACACCCCAGGCTGCAGGCGGCGCCAAACCGCTGCGCCACCGGAACTGCCCAATATTCACAAATGTTGGTGTGTAGTCGAATGTACTGTGTGTGACCTCATGAGAAAGGAATTACTTACTGTCGATCCAGAAATTCTGAGTAGAAAAGGCAGCTTTCTGTCACATATCTTAGGAAATGAAAATAAAAATTGTATCCGTTCCTCCACCAAATGATTACTATTGCCAGTTGACCCATACCCCCTCTTTATCTAACATCCTATGGGAAACCGGTTGTTCCCTCCTGAGGAAGGTTTTTCTTGTAGCTTCTGGCACTGATCTTGATTCAGCTTGGTTAAGCAGAGCATCTGTAGAATAGGCCTGATAGGCTGTTTGGGAAGAAGGAAATGACTTAATTCCAAACGAAGCATTTTCTGGAATGTTGAAACATGCTATTTTGTGATCAGGCAATTCCACTATCACGATTCCACTATTCTGGTTAAGTTGCCCAGATTTGTTTGTCCATACATAAATGTGTCATGGCTTCAGAAGCTTGCCCGCAATCCCCAGATGGAGGCCCTGGCACAGAGGGTGCCCCAGTCTGAATTCTCTACATCTCTAGCAAATAACTTCATTTTTGAGGTATTTTGTGGTGTTCTTCCATCTAGTTTAAGAAAACAGAAGCATTGCATTTTCCTCCGTTGGCCAGAGTGTTTCTCTTTTGCTTCCACTTCCTTCACCTTTATCCTTCTCTCCCTCTTCTAGACATAAAATTCTTCAGTGTGATTTCATTACAAATGAGGAGGACTTTCTCCTCAACTCCTGGGGACAGAAATATAATGTTTTTCCCTGTGGAGGTGATTTGCACATGTTTTTTGGTCCCTGGATTTGGGCCCAAGATAGCATCTTTTATTTCTTACGGTATGCTTCCTTCATTGAATGGCAACCGCCTTACCTAAGGATCAATGAACGGAAATTCTACAGAAACTCAGACATTAGAGAGCTGTCTTGGGATCAGCAAACTTAAAATCCAAATCCTCCGTAGAGAAATGGGAAGAGCTGATATGTTGCCACAGGTGTTTTTCTTTTATCACGAGAACAGACTAATGTTGCGGTTCCTTCTCCAGTCCCATATAGAAATCATCCATGGCCATGCGGCATTCACGTGTGATTCTGAGCCCACAATAGAGGTCAATGGGAACAAATACACTGCCCCTCACATCCTGATTGCCACAGGCGGCGTGCCCTCCCGCCCTCAGGAGAGCCAGATCCCCGGTAAGTCTTGTTGTTAATAGTCAAGCGGAGTTTACTCTTGTCTTCAACCTTACAGTCCATGCCAGGGGATCTGTCTGAACCAGTTCTTTCTCTTGGACAAGGCCACACGGCCCTGAGAGGTCCCTGCAGAACCGAAATGTAATTGGCTTAACTGGTGCCCAGCAATGGGACCGAGAAAGGTATCTCTTCCAGCTCCAAGCTCACACTGACTACAGGTAACACAAGGAGAAAAATCAGGGAAGAGTCTCATCCTTTCCTTCTCAGCATGACAGATCACCTGCCTGAGTTTGTCACATGGGTTGTTATTTGTTAGACATGTTCTGTAGTTACTATTTTGTTCAAGAAGGTGAAATCCTTCCTGGAGACCCGGGATCGAATCCCACATCGGGCTCCCGGTGCATGGAGCCTGCTTCTCCCTCTGCCTGTGTCTCTGCCTCTCTCTCTCTGTGACTATCATAAAAAAAAAAAAAAAAAAAAAAAATTTAAGGGGCAGCCCCGGTGGCGCAGCGGTTTAGCGCCGCCTGCAGCCCGGGGCGTGATCCTGGGGACCCTGGATCGAGTCCCACATCAGGCTCTCTGTATGATGCCTGCTTCTCCCTCTGCCTGTGTCTCTGCCTCTCTCTCTCTCTGTCTCTATGAATAAATAAATAAAATCTAAAAAAAAAAAAAAAAAAAGATTAAAAAAAAAAGAAGGTGAAATCTTGTAGGGATATGACATAATTATCTATTAAGCCTTCTTTGTATGCATAGTTTTCTCATATAGAGAATGATAAAATTAAAGCAGTAAGGAATTCCAGATAGTCATATTTGCTGTTATGTTTTATGCACACAGGGATAAACCATGAACATACTACCTTATTCTCACATAAGAAACGTGGTTCGTGGACAGTTGTGTGGCTCAGTGGTTTAGTGCCACCTTCAACCCAGGGCGTGATCCTGGAGACCCGGGATCGAGTCCCACGTCGGGCTCCCTGCATGGAGCCTGCTTCTCCCTCTGCCTGTGTCTCTGCTTCTCGCTCTCTCTCTCTGTGTCTCATGAGTAAATTAATAAAATCTTAAAAAAAAAAGAAAGAAAGAAAAAGAAAGAAAGAAAGAAAGAAAGAAAGAAAGAAAGAAAGAAAGAAAGAAACATGGTTCATGTCTTTCTCCCTAACTAGATTATAAGGTCTTTTTTTGAGTGTATATGCATTTATGTATTTTGTTCCCTTGGGGGAGAGGATCCAAAAGTTTTCACTAGCTTTTTTTTTTTTTAAGATTTTATTTATTCATGAGAGAAACAGTGACAGAGAGGCAGAAGCACAGGTAGAGGGAGAAGCAGGCTTCATGCAGGGAGCCCGATGTGGGACTCCATCCCAGGTCTCCAGGATCACACCCTGGGCCGAAGGTGGCGCTAAACCGCTGAGCCACCCGGGCTGCCCAGTTTTTACTAGCTTTTAAAAGGGTTTCATGGGATCCCTGGGTGGTGCAGCGGTTTGGCGCCTGTCTTTGGCCCAGGGCGCAATCCTGGAGACCCGGGATCGAATCCCACATCGGGCTCCTGGTGCATGGAGCCTGCTTCTCCCTCTGCCTATGTCTCTGCGCCTCTCTCTCTCTCTCTCTCTCTCTGTGACTATCATAAATAAATAATAAAAAAAAATTAAAAATAAAAGGGTTTCATGACTCCCAAAAGGTCAAGACCAACTACTGTAAAAGACAGTAAGATACTGTTCTCAAGTACCTTAAAAATTAATTGGGAAGATTGATTGTTAAGTGAAAAAATTAAGGTGTGGAACAGTGTGTATAGTATGCTACAATTTGTGTCTTTTTCAAAAGGGGAAGAGACTGTACATACGCACCAGGATATCTCTGGAAGGATACTCAAAGTCCTGTCATGCTGACTCCCTATAGGGAGAGGACTAGAGGTCGGGGGTGGGAAAGATCTATGCTTTTCACTAGATGTTCTGTTGTGCTTTTTGAATTTTTAAAATATATACATTTATTAATTTAAAACCTAGAATAACAAATGAAAAGAAATAATAAAAGGTATGTGTCCCCAGGTTATTTCTAAACCATGAGGCTTGGGGTGCTCACAGATGGGACAGATTACTATGGAATGGTATAAACCAAAAAGACTTCCCAGAAAAGGGGCTGGAATGATATGTGCTGAGGAAGAGGAAGACTGAAAGAGCCAGTGGGTAATAAAGATGTCTTCGAAAAATATCCAGCCGATTCAACCAGTTTTTCCAGCATTGACGTTCTGGGGTCGCATTCACTAAGCTGAAACCAGAAGAGGTTAGGGTCAAATTGTAGAGACTTACAAAGTCAAATGAAAGAATCTCTGTAATTCTGACAACGGGGTCAGATAACTAACTGGTGGCTTATAAATAGGCTTGTGTCAAGATCTTAAGCGATAATTTTAGAAAACTAATCTGACAGTGACTCACAGAGGATGGAGATCGGTATAGAAAGCTGTGGCTGTAGAATGTACAGGAGGTGATGATATGGTTCTAAACCCCAGCGTTAGCATCTGACCTGTAAAGGAGAAGCTCAGATCTGCAGCCGTCACTGAGCCACTGCTGGGGGCCAGGCCTTAGCAAGGAGAACAGGCGTAACAGCCTCAGAAGGAAGAATCTGCTACTGTATACTTTTTTTTTTAAAGTATATTCATCCCATCTGAAAGCAGGATGTGTCCTTTATTTTTTATTTTTTTAAAGATCTATTTCTCTTGGAGAGAGAGAGAGAGAGAGAGAGAGCACAAGTGGAAGGGCCAGGGAGAAAGAGAGAAGCTCAAGCAAACTCTGCACTGAGCACAGAGCCCGATGTGGGACTCAATCTCATGACCCCGAGACACGACCTGAGCCAAAACCAAAAGTGGGATGCTTAACCGACTGCGCCACCCAGGCGCCTCTGATAAGTCATTTTATCATGGCACCTCCAATTTGGTAAAGTGCGACATTTTTATTAATTGATGAGATATTGTGGGGGTCACTGAGAGAAGGAATTATAGATTGACACCTCAGGATTTCACTTGGGTTATGGAAGGTGCTCCATTTAACTCAAGTGATAAACTTGAGAGAGGGAGACAGGACATGAAATTAAGGTTCAGTTCTAAAAATAGTGAGTTTGAAGCAAAAGTGGGATTATATAGCAGGGCAGTTAGAAATATGGGACTCGGAGGGGGGCACCTTGGTGGCTCAGTGGTTAAGCGTCTGCCTTTGACTCAGGGCGTGATCCTGGGTTCCCGGGATCGTATCCCGGATCAGGCTCCCCACAGGGAGCCTGCTTCTCCCTCTACCTATGTTTCTGCCTCTCTATGTCTCTCATGAATAAATAAACTATTTTTTCTTAAAAGACAAATATTGGACAGGAACTTGGGGAAAAGGTGAAAACTCAAATGTTTGAAAGTCCTCCACAGTGAGGGGGAAGAGTTGGTTGAAACCTTTGAAGAACACAGAAGAGAGCCAAGGCTGAGCCAAGGGGTGCATGCCTACATTTGAGGGCAGGAGAATGGAGCAGAGCTGGCAAAGTCTCTTCATGAGAATCAAGAAAGTTTTAGTTTTCAGAGAAAGGTAATCAATAGTCATCACTGCTCTTATTTCTAGAGAGAAAACAGAAGTGTGCACTCAGGGAAGACTGGGTTGGCAGCTTCCCAAGTGGAGACTTTGACAGAACTTGTCAAAACAGTGTGTGATGGCAGAGAACGTGTCTGGGTCCTATACAAAATGTTGATATTGTTTTACAAGAGAAAGCTCAGTCTGTGTGATCAGTATTGCATTTTCCTACATAGGTGCCAGCCTAGGAATAACCAGTGATGGATTTTTCCAACTGGAAGAATTACCTGGGTAAGCCGGCTCCCTTTCCAACCTGAGTGTTCGTTCTTCCCCAGTCTCTCCAGCTAACATTTCTTCTACCTTTCCCTCCCAGCCATTAAGTGTGGGCTTTCCTTGAATTTTCATCACCTACTTCTCTTTTTATGACCTTGGGTATCTCATCCACTAATACCCTGTGTGACTTGTGTTGGTTTCTTTTTCTTTCTCTTTTCTTTTCTTCTTTCTTCTCCTTCCTTCCTCCCTCCCTCCCTCTCTTTCTTTTCCTTTTTAAAGATGTTTTTATTTATTTAGGGAGAGAGAGAAAGAGCATGGGCAGGGAGGTACAGAGCAAAAGGGAAAGAAGCAGGCTCTCTGCTGTGCGTGGAGCCTGACACAGGGCTCAATCTCATGACCCTGAGATCACCACCATGAAATTACAACCTGAGCTGAAATCAAGAGCCAGGTGCTTAACTGACTGAACCACTCAGGTGCCCCATGACTCAGACCTTTCATCACAGTTTTTAGGACCAGAATAAATAGAGGGTGGTTTTGAAGAATAAATATTAAGTCCTAAAACTTTCTTCACCTTAGTACAGCATCAACTGATGATGTGTCTCAAGTAACTGACTCTGTTTCCAAAGGAGCTAGTTTAGGGGAAATCGTCCTAAATGAAGGCTCTGTCACTTTCAAAAAAAAAAAAAAATAGGTTTTCTGAATTCATCTTTTATGTGTGTTGGTCCAAACAACCTTAGTAAACATCTGTCATAGATTTAGATACTTAGAAAAAGATATACTGAGGAAGATTGTTTCTCTAACATGAAGAAGGTGCCAGTTGCGGGCTTTCTAGGTCGGAGGGAGCCTCCTTTCACTCATGATAAGTGAAGACACCTTAGAAGCTGGAGGAGGGATCCTTTTCTTTTGGCCTAGGACTCGCCTTTATCTCCCTCTGAGGAGTTCTCACTCTGGAATCAGTATTACTCAACGCTGCTGCTCCCTCCCTCTGCAGTGCTGCCAACCCAGTATGAGGTCTTAATCCTGTAATTTTATTAAGTGCTTCATGGAGGGTGACTAATAATCCATGTCCATACCTTTATCTTAGTTCACCTGGAGCCACAGATGGTTACTAAGGGGCAAGAGGGCTTCTTTGAGTTCCACAGCGGTGGTGTAAATCTCCCATGAAGGTGCAGGCAATCTTCTGACTTAAAAGGAAACAGTTGTTTTAGATTTGCTGTCTGCAGGGCATGCAGCTGTGTTAGACAACAGCTTTTCTTTCCTCATGATCTATTGATCTACCCTGTACTGTTTGTTTTTAGGGTTGAATGATGACACATGTGAGAATGTTTCCAGAAATGTGGTCATGACTCATCATGTTTGGATGATACAAGTCAATCTAGACTCACCCTCAAAAAAGCTTCTTTATAGATACCTGTCCATTAAATACTTTAAAATAGGGATCCCTGGGTGGCTCAGTGGTTTAGCTTCGCCATCAGCCCAGGGCCTAATCCTGGAGAGCCGGAATCAAGTTCCACATCAGGCTCCCTGCATGGAGCCTGCTTCTCCCTCTGCCTGTTCTCTGCCATCTCTCTCTCTGTCTCTCATGAATAAATAAAATCTTTTTTAAAAAAAGTATTTTAAAATAAATGATTTAAAAATAGAGTCATTTATTTTAAAATATTTAAAATGCTAGCAACACAAGCTTAATAAGTGAATTTATTCATCTTAGGACCAAAAGACTCTGGGAAATAGGAAATGAATGGACAATATTTTTCTTCTTTTAAGATTTTATTTATTTTAGAGAGAGAGAGAGAGGGTGGGAGTGTGCAAGAGCGGGGAGGGGTGGAGGAGGAGGGAGAAAGATTGAAGCAGACTTCTCACTGAATGGGGAGCCTTGACACAGGGCTCGATCTCCTGATCATGAGAAAGGAGAAGAGGTCAAATATAATAGGAAAGAGTTAGGTAGAGATGAAAGAGATATTTCATAGTTTACTGTGTAGCCATTTCTCTTCAAATCCTGGGTTGTAAAATAAGCTGACTTGTAGCTATTTGGGTTCACACTTTGTCCTCTATCTAGACCAGACCCCTCTGATGGCACAGACTCACCACATGGATGCCTTACCTTTGGAACATAGTAAAGAAAGTTTTTCTTTTTCTTTCCAGATTGGTTACTTCTCATCCAAGCATTGTCATGATGATAGAGCACCCTGTTTGAAGCATTAGAGAACTCCAGCCCCAAACAGGGCGGCTCTGGCTAAGAGGCATTTATGATTCAGGCTGTAGCATAGAAGTAATCCTCATTGCTCTAGGGCCAGGATTGACTTCACCAATGATTCAGACTTTCATTAGCATTTATCTAGTGTTTAAGATGCCTTCTTAGACCGAAATTTATACAGGGAGTCTACTTTTTCAGATCTATCCTATAACTTAAATGGCTTGCTTAGTTGGCCTTTAACCTATTGCGAAGATGGGTAGAATTGAATAGTGCTCAAGAATTTCTAGGGCACATGGGTGGCTCAGTCAGTTAAGCGTCTGCCATTGGCTCAGGTCATGATCCCAAGGTCCTGAGATCGAGTCCCATATCGGGCTCCTTGCTCTAGGGAGCCTGTTTCTCCCTTTACCACTCCCCCTGCCAGCGCTCACTTGCTTGCTCTCTCTCACTCTCTTCACTCTTTCTCTGTGAAATAAATAAATAAAATCTTAAAAAAAGAAGAAGAAGTTCTGAGCAGGGAAGAATCATGGTAAGTGTTGCCAGTTTTAGTTTTAGGTGCAAATGTTACTCATAAGGAATCATCTCTAGTTTCAAAGGTTTTTTTTGTTGTTGTTGTTAATTCTCTGAAGAAATGAGACTAAAGAACTTTTTTTCTTAAAGGTTTATATATTCATATGAGAGAGAGAGTGGAGTGTAGGGGAGAGGGGCAAAAGAAGAGTAAGAAAAAAATCTTTTTAGCAGACTCCACACTGGGCATGGAGCCTGACATGGGGCTCGATTTCACGACCCCAAGGTCAGCACCCTGAGATCACGACCTGAGCTGAAACCAAGTGTCGGAGGCTCAACCAGCTATACCATTCAGGTACCCTGAGGCTGAAGAACTTTTATTTTATTTTATTTATTTATTTATAAGATTTTATTTATTCATGAGACACACACACACACACACACACACACACACACACACAGGCAGAGACACAGGCAGAGGGAGAAGCAGGCTACCTGCAGGGAGCCCAACGTGGGACTTGATCCCTGGACTCCAGGATCATGTCCTGGGCTGAAGGCGGCGCTATACCGCTGAGCCACCGGGGCTGCCCTGAAGAACTTTTAACAACTAAAAATATATTTCCCTTTCACAAAGAAGTATTTTCTGCATAAAATTGCAATGTGGGGGCAGCCTGGGTGGCTCAGCGGTTTAGCGCCACCTTCAGCCCAGGGTGTGATCCTGGAGACCCAGGATCAAGTCCCGCATCGGGCTCCCTTCATGGAGCCTGCTTCTCCCACTGCCTGTGTCTGTGCCTCTCTCTCTGTGTGTCTCTCATGAATAAATAAATAAATAAAATCTTTAAAAAAAAAATTGCAATGTGGTATCCAGGATTGCATCCTAGAGCAGAAAAAGGAAATGAATGGGAAAACCGGTGAAGTCTGGATAAAGCCTGGAGTTTGGTCAATAGCAAATAGTTTCTTAGTTTTGACAAGTGTATCATGGTTATGCAAGATGTTAACTTGCAGAGAAGCTGGGCAGAGTGTATACAGGACACTACTATACTATCTTTTCAACTTTTCTGTAAATCTAAAATTATTCCAAAATAAGCTTATTTAAAAATATTAACCCTCTCTCTCATTTTAGCCGCAGTGTCATCGTTGGTGCGGGTTACATTGCTGTAGAGATAGCTGGGATTCTTTCTGCTCTGGGTTCAAAGACGTCACTAATGATACGGCATGATAAGGTAAATTCTGTCTTTTTCCAAAATTCCCTTTGCTTGACACTAATCTTTTAAAAAAATCTACCCTGAGAATACTCTTATGTTGTCATTAAATTCTAGGGTGTAGAGTACGTGGGCATCAACTGGTGTGTGCTGCATGGAACTACGTATAAGCTATTTGATTGGGCCATATGTTCCTCACCAGCTGTCAGTTGATAATGATTTTGATTTGATCAAACTGGCTGGTATTTTCATCGTGAAGCAGTGGATAGTATCAGGTGCCTTAAAAGGAAACAGGCAGGCTTAAATATAAATATTAGTTTAATTGAATGGACTGTCAGGTTAATTTCTTATTCTAGAAATCAATTTCACATGCTCAGAAGGTAGTGTTGGATTAAAAACACTCAGTCAAAAAATTTTACTATATTATTTGCATTAAAAGAAAAACATACCGGGATGCCTAGGTGGCTCAGTGGTTACGCATCTGCCTGTGGTTCAGGGCGTGATTCTGGGATCTGGGATTGAGTCTCACATCAGGCTTCTTGTGAGGAACCTGCTTCTCCCTCTACCTATGTCTCTGCCTCTCTCTCTCTCTGTGTCTCTCATGAATTAAATAAATAAATCCTTAAAAATATAAAAAGAAAAATGTATCAAAGATATTTGCATACCCATGTTCATGGCAGCATGATTCACAATAGCCCAGAGGTAGAAGCAACCCAAGTGTCCATTGACAGATGAATGAATAAACAAAATGTGTATTTTTGTATGATGGAAGGACATTCTGACACCTGCTACAACATGGATGAACTTTGAGGACATTATGCCAAATGAAGTAAACCAACCACAAAAAGACAAATATTGTGATCCATTTAATCTGAGGTATCTAGAATAGTCAAACTCATAAAAACAGAAAGTAGAATGGTGGTTGCCAGGAGTTGAGGGCAGAAGGAAATGAGGGGTTTAATGAGTATAGAGTTTCAAGTTTGTAAGAAGAAAAGTTCTGGAGAATAACTCATGACCTCCCATCTTTACCCTGCCTGAGGTTTGTTGCATGTGGATTATTCCAAAAACCTCTCCAAGGCCATGTTCTTGACTTCTTTGCTTAGATAAGGAGATTTTTCCCAACAAGATCTTCCCTTGAATCATATCAGAGTGGAAGCTGCCCTGCAATACTGAAAGGGGAAGGAGAATTTCTGGTCCCAAAACATAATCATAGAAAAAGGACGCAAGCATGGTGAAGAGAGTAGAAGCCTGAAGGTTGCCTGTCTATTTAACTTTAAAACTGGAGTTGCTGAAATCAGACCTAATACAGACATTGGTGGTGATGTAGGAAAATAGATTAAAACTCCACTTACAATATAGCCATGAATGAAGGAAGAGAGAGGAGGGAGGATGCTAATATTTGGCCCCCAAGTTTATAACCTATCTTCAATCAAGTTTTATTCCTTTTCCATCACTCATCCCTCAGGTGTCTCTGTTTATATACAGGTACTTAGAAATTTTGACTCCATTATCAGTTCAAACTGCACTGAAGAGCTGGAGAATTCCGGCATAGAGGTCCTGAAGTACTCACAGGTATGGCCGAGCCTGGGGCATGCTTACCACTCTTCATCATCTGAGTGTCCTGAACCATACTTTCTGCTTTTGGTTTCTACCTGGGTGTTTCATAAACACAAACACCGTGTCTACCCCAGTCATTGTATTGCTTTCTAGAGTATTACCAGTTCTTTTCTTTATCCTAAGAAGCTATATTTCTCAATATATGGTAAAAACAAGGTATAAAAGAATAGAAATCTGGTAATTGAATTTAGTTAGAAATAAAACTCATGTTTTGTGCTCAAGTGCCTTATTGAACATGGTTATTTTTCAGGAAATAATATTGTGAAATCTATTTTTAAAGTATACCCTTTTGAGTCTGCAAATGGACAGAATTACAGGCCACTGGAGCTGAATTACAGAGTACTAGGGAATCACTAAATTTCAGAATTGTCTTGGAGTAATAATAGGCTTGTAATAACCGCACCCTCAGCAATGGCCTTATCAAGTAAAATAACAAATGTGAAGTTGCTTTGTGAATGTAAAAGTGCTAACCTAGTATTGGGGTCAGAACCCCTTGGGATCTTCACCAAGCTGTGTGCACCCAACTCTTCTGACCCAATTCTCATCCCCTCCCTCTTCTGATTTAGAACATCCAGGAGAAGTATCGATTTTGAGGTATGAGCAAGTTTCCTAGCGATGTTCCTACAGCCCATTTCCTTCCTATACTCCAGTCACCTATCACTGTGCTTATATTTGTAACTTAAATTTTATTGTGGTTTTTAAGAAGCACAGTTTAAAAAACTTGCTTTTAGGCTGAAGCAGTAAGGTGTTGACACAAGCAGACATTTCTGGCCATTGGGTGGATGATTTAGGGCAACCTAGGAAATGGTCTCAGCTCCTAAGAGTGTTAGTGTCCTTTGGGTAAAAGTGAATATGTCAGCACGAAGGATCTCCACATATAGGATTTGGTGAAGGTTTTTTAAATGTTAAGAATTCTGATTTCTTCTTTGTTCTCCACCTTCTCTCCCTTTCCCCAAATTAACACATTTTATTTGCCAATAGGTCAAGGAAGTTAAAAAGACATCCTCAGGCTTGGAACTGTGCATGATTACTTCAGCTCCTGGTAGGAAACCCACCTTGACCACAATTCCAGATGTTGACTGCCTGCTATGGGCCATTGGGCGGGACCCAAACTCCAGTGGCCTGAATTTAGACAAAGTGGTAAGCTGACTTGATCTAACCAAAACATTCTTGAATCTGTTAGCATTCCTGTGTTCCCCACCCCTTAGCCCCCTAAACTTTGGTGAGTTCTGTTAGATTTTTTTCTTTTTATTTCATGCATCTAGTTTGTCATCAAATCCCATTATTTCTTTGAAATTAAAAACACAATAAAACGATTTTCCCTGTTTAGTGTGGTCACTCTAAATCAAGTCTTTGCACCTCAAATCTAGATTGTCCAGCAGTGCCCTGACTAGCCTCTTCCTTACAGGTTTCCTTTTTACAAGGATACTTGTCTTTTTAAAGTCCTGTAATTATTCCTTATCATCTGCAGCTTTAATCTCGATTGCTGGAGGTGTGTCAATCATCCTGGACATTTGGAGCACTTGGGGATAGAAATGAATGTGAAGCTGATCTACCAGTGTTACGATTAACATCCTTAGTTCTCTTAAAATTTTTTAAAATGTATTTATTTGAGAGAGAGAATGGGCAGGGAGGAGAGGGAGAAGCAGGCTTCTTGTGAGCAGAGAGCCTGATGTGGGGCTTGATCCCAGGACCCTGGGGATCCTCACCTGAGCCAGAGGCAGATGCTTAACTGACTGAGCCACCCAGGTCCCCCTGTTCTTTTGAAAAAAATTTTTTTTAAGATTTTATTTATTTAATCATGATAGATCCACAGAGAGAGAGGGAGAGAGACACAGGCACAGGCAGAGGGAGAAGCAGGCTCCACACAGGGAGCCCGACGCGGGACTTAATTCTGGGTCTCCAGGATCTGGCTCTGGGCTGAAGGCGGCGCTAAACCGCTGAGCCACCGGGCCGCCCTGTTCTTTTGAATTTTGAAAGAAATTCTACTGTAGTAGCTTGGGGTCCAGATCCCAGAGTTTGATCCAATTTTGAATCTTAGTTCTGTTACTTACCAGTTGCATGGCCTTAAGCAATCAGCTTAATTACTGTTAAGTTTCAATTGCTTCATATAAGTACAGGAATAAAAATAGTACTTGTCTCACTGGCTTATAGGCTACAGTAGATGATGAGAAAGTACATGCAAAGTAATTAGTTTAGATGCTGGCTTATAATATGAACTCAATCCACGTTAACCATCTACTGTTGTTAATGATGATTTTCCTGATACACTATACTACTCTACAAGTGATAATAGAATTATTTTATGTTTGAGGTTTACATATTTGATGGAACTTCTTGAGCAGTGTGTAACATTTTGATTTGTTCTAAGTAATATTCATTATTGTGTGGATTATTTTTTCATTTCATTAAAGGTATTTTTCAGCATTTTAAAAAAGCAAAATATCCAGGGAGATGTTTTTCTTGTTTTTAATCTTAATATTTGGTGAAATTTAATAAAACTTGATATCTATTTTCCTATTAAAAAACTAGTCATCGGGGATCCCTGGGTGGCGCAGCGGTTTGGCGCCTGCCTTTGGCCCAGGGCGCGATCCTGGAGACCCGGGGTCGAGTCCCACGTCGGGCTCCCGGTGCATGGAGCCTGCTTCTCCCTCTGCCTGTGTCTCTGCCCCCCTCTCTCTCTCTCTCTCTCTCTGTGACTATAATAAAGAAATAAAAAAAAAAAATTAAAAAACTAGTCATCCAGATTTTCACTTTTCAAGAGATAACTTTGTCATTGTACAGATATAGGCTTTGGTAGGTCTAGTTTTCTTTTCTTTTTTTTTTTTAAGATTTTATTTATTTATGAGTGACACAGAGAAGCAAGCAGAGACATAGAGGAAGAAGCAGGCTCCTCTTAGGGAGCCCAATGCAAAACTCGATCCCAGGACCCCAGGATCATGACTTGAGCCAAAGGCAGATACTTAACCGCTGAGCCACCCAGGTGCCCCAGGTCTAATTTTCAATTATATTTGCTGAATCTTTTAAAAATGAGATAAAAGTTTTAAGTCTTATTCAATGTTAAAATATATTTGTAGGGATCCCCAGGTGGCTCAGCGGTTGGAGCCTGCCTTCAGCCCAGGGTGTGATCCTGGAGTCCCGGGATCAAATCCCATATCAGGCTCCCTGCATGGAGCCTGCTTCTCCCTCTGCCTGTGTCTCTGCCTCTCTCTCTGTGTGTGTCTCTCGTGAATAAATAAATAAAATCGATTCACAGAGAGAGAGGGAGAGAGGCACAGGCAGAGGGAGAAGCAGGCTCCACACAGGGAGCCCGACGCGGGACTCATACAATATAAATTTTGTATGATGCAAATGGAATTATTACCATGTGTAGGTCTTGTCAACATATTACTAACCTACTTTTTTTTTAATAAATTAATTTTTATTGGTGTTCAATTTACCAACATACAGAATAACACCCACTAACCTACTTTAATCCTGTCAACAACTCTTTGAGGTCTAAGGATGAAGAAAGCACATAGATAATAAACAGCCCACCAGACTGTAATTCTATTGGCTAGGCAGGATATCTGTATTATTTATCACTATTTAGAGTGAGTAGGTTAATGCCTCATTTGTACTAGAAGCTTAAGTATTTGTTGATAAATCGGCAGTTATACAAGCCTATACTAGCTAGTATAGGCATAGCTAGTAAGTGGCAGAGCTGGGTTTTGAACCTAGGCCTCTCTCCTTCCAAAGGCTGTATTCTTAACCGCTGTGCTACCTATTTCTACTCTCTGTCTTCTCACATGGGAGTTTATACACATGGAATCTGCAAAGCCACAATGTAATCATGGCACATCTTTTTGGAGCAAACATTGGCCTCAGGAAAAAATTTTGGTAAAGAAAACATCAGTATGTTTTAGAGAGAATACCATATTTCCTTGGATTTTTAAAATTAAAATGGTAAGCCTCAAAGAAACCTGCTTTTAATGATTGCTTCAGGTTGTCCCCGCTAAGTTATGAGTTAGCATGTGAGTTAGCTGCCAGAGGAGTACTTCAGTGGAAAAAGTTTTTTTTTTAATGTTTTTGTGGGTTTTAAAAAAAATATTTTATTTATTTATTTGAGAGAGAGAGAGAGAGAGGAAGGGAAGAGAGAGAGAATCCAAAGCCGACTCCATGCTGAGTGTAGAGTCTGACCCAGAGCTCAATCCCTCAATAGGCAGATCTTGACCTGAGGCGAAACCAAGAGTCAGACGCTTAAACGACTGAATCACCCAGGCGCCCCTTTCAGTCGAAAAAGTTTGAAAGCACTATCTTTGGTGGACTCCACAGTGATAGAAATAGCACATCTGATAGTTGAGTGTTTCCTTTTCATGTTTCCCTGGTGAGTTGATTTGTATAGCAAAGGCAAGTCCTGTTAAATATCTCAAAATTGGATAAAATACCTTTTAAACTAAGCAAAAGACATGAACTTGTCAACTTGTTAAGATGTTTTTTTATCTTGTGCTTGAGTGTTGTGGTTTTTAAAGATTCAGGCTGAAGAGGTTCTTGAAATGAAGATCCAGGAATTTGATCTGTCATTTTTTCCTAGATATATCAAATACTGACATAACAGCCTTTCACTTTTTTAGGGGATTCAAACTGATGACAAAGGTCATATCATAGTAGATGAATTCCAGAATACCAGCGTGAAAGGCATCTATGCAGTTGGGGACGTGTGTGGAAAAGCTCTTCTCACTCCAGGTACTGTGTCTTTTTCTTGGGTAAGAGAGGCTCTGTGTGTCATATAAAACCATTCAGCTTTTTTCACAGTCAGATCAGCTTAAGCAGAGTGGAAAGGATGAGTGTCTTACTGTTGTCAGAATAACAATGTATTGAAATAGCTTGGTACCTGATGTTTTCTGAATAATATTAATTTTTCCTTAGAAGGCCTTTAAAATGCTTTAGTGAAGACTGAGATTGTTAGAGAGATGATATGATCATCTTCTGAAGATTGCTGTAAGATGGAATCTGAGTTACATATGGTGACAGTGGAAGGAAGTGGCTTTGGAAAGAATAATTTATTATTTTTAAAAATATTTTTATTTATTTATTCATGAGAGACACAGAGAGGCAGAGACAGAAGCAGGTTCCATGCAGGGAGCCTGATGTGGGACTTGATTCCGGGTCTCCAGGATCACACCCTGGGCCAAAGGCAGGCGCTCAATCACTGAGCCACCAAGGTGTCCCAGAAAGAAGTAATTTAGAGTGGCCTTCTTATATGATTATTTAGTCTATTTTTTGGAAGATTTTAATTTTTATTTGTATATACATATTTTTTAATTTGTTTTTTTTTTTAAGTAGGCTCCATGCCCAACATGAGGCTTGAACTCATGATCCTGAGATTGATAGTCACACACTCTACCAGATGAGCCAGCCAGGTGCCCTGATTATTTAGTCGTTATTTGATAACGACTGAGATTGACCTATCTCCCCTAATCCTATACCTCAATCTACTTTCTGAGTTAACTGGCACCATTTCAAGCTCTTTGTCCCACTTTTATTACTGTCATCACTCCATCTGCTTTCACTCTGTACCCCTGTGGTACGTATGTCACCAGCCTTTCTAAAATGGCCGTGGGTCTTTCCTCAGAATGGAAACTCCCCCCAGTCCCACACCCAAAGCCTTTTAGCTCCTTCAGGAAGTTCTTTTAACAGTAGCAAAATAACAAGCAACATTTCAAAAACTTGATAACATAATCTAAGAGTCAAAAATGTTATCAAAGTGAAAAAAATTTCTTATGTATCCTTTTGATACCTTATTTTGGGAAAAAACTGTCATTTTGAAATCAACAAAAATTTTTTTTTAAAGATTTTATTTGTTTATGAGAGACACACACACACAGGGAGAGGCAGAGACACAGGCAGAGGGAGAAGCAGGCTCCAAGCAGGGAGCCTGATGTGGTTCTGGATTTCTGGTCTCCAGGATCACACCCTGGGCCAAAGGCAGTGCTAAACCACTAAGCCACCAGGGCTTCCCTGAAATCAACAAAATTAATAACTGGTGCTTTTACTGAATGTAGGCATTTTTTTCTGTGTACAAGATGAAAACAGGCTAAGGAGAATAAACTTTAAAAAAAATGAGAAGTAAAAATAATTTTAAAAAATAAAACTGGGGAGCCCGGGTGGCTCAGCGGTTTAGCGCTGCCTTCAGCCCAGGGTGTGATCCTGGAGACCCGGGATCGAGTCCTGCATCGGGCTCCCTGTGTGGAGCCTGCTTCTCCCTCTGCCTGTGTCTCTGCCTCTCACACTCTCTGTGTCTCTCATGAATAAATAAATAAAAATCTTTAAAAAAAAAAACAAAACAACTCGGGCAGCCCGGGTGGCTCAGCGGTTTAGCGCCGCCTTCAGCCCAGGGCGTGATCCTGGAGTCGCAGAATCAAGTCCCACGTCATGCTCCCTGCATGGAGCCTGCTTCTCCCTCTGCCTGTGTCTCTGCCTCTCTCTCTCTCTCTCCTCTCTGTGTATTCTCATGAATAAATAAATAAAATCTTTAAAAAAATAAAAAATAAACTTAAAAAAATCTGAGAGCACCTGTGTGGCTCCATCAATTAAGCATCTAACTCTTAATCTCAGTTCAGACCTTGATCTCAGGGTCATGAGTTAAAGCTCCCTATTGGGCTCCACACTGGGTGGAGCCTGCTTAAAAAAAAAAATACTCTGTCAAGTCCGTAGCAATATGACTATGTGTTTATAACGTGATTGTCTGAGAACCATGGTCATCAGAAGTCCCCTTGGACAGCAAGGTAGAATGTGTCATTCACCATCCAGGATTGTGGTCTTTATCCTTATCAACCAGAGCCCTAATCTGTCGGAACCAGCCAGAGAAGAGGAGTCACGATATAACCTGACAGAGAGGCTGAGGCTGGGGGCCTTCTATGGAATTAAAAGAAAAAAAAAAGTAGAGGTTATAAAAGTACAAATGAAGTTGCTCAAAACTAAAATAGTTTGCTTCATTAATATTGTATCAAAAGGCTAATACTCTAATTAGGTAACTGCTAGATGATCAGGAACTAGTAAACATATCCCCCCCCCTTTTTTTTTTGCCCTGAGAGAATTTACAGAATTTATATAAGCTAGTATTTTTTTAAAAAATATTTTATTTATTTATTCCTGAGAGGGTGGGGTGGGGTGGGGCAGAGACACAGGCAGAGGGAGAAGCAGGCTCCATGCAGTGAGCCTGACGTGGGACTCGATCCGGGGTCTCCAGGATCAGACCCTGGGCTGAAGGCGGCACTAAACCGCTGAGCCACCAGGGCTGCCAAAGCTGGTAGTTTTGAATTGTTAACTAAGGCATTGTTATGTCTTCATTATATTGACATAGATACTATAATGAACATGAGCATGAAACTTTGGCAAAAGTAGTACATTGAGCCAGATGAGGAAATGGTTAGTGGAACCATCTGGTAGTTTTAAAGTTGAGTAATAAACTGAAACACTGATTTAAAATTATGTTTGTAAAAAAAAAAAAATAATAAATAAATAAATAAATAAATAGATAGATAGATAGATAGATAGATAGATAGATAGATAGATAAATAAATAAATTATGTTTGTAGTTGCCATAGCTGCTGGCCGAAAACTTGCCCATAGACTTTTTGAATGCAAAGAAGATTCCAAATTAGACTATGACAACATCCCTACAGTCGTCTTCAGCCACCCCCCGATTGGGACAGTGGGACTCACAGAAGGTAGGTATTTAAAAACATGGGTAATTTATAGTTTCTGTCTTCCCCCAAATGCAGGGGGAAGTTACTGACTAAATCTATCTTCACCCCCTAAGCTACACTCCTTCCTGGTTGGCCTCTTCTCACAATTCCAGTTTTCTCCCTAACTGCTAACACTTGGGGAATAGAATTCCTTTTCCTCACACTGCCCTGTGTGTCTCTGCCCTTTTTTTTTTTTTTAAGCTTTTTCTATTTGAACTAATTTCAAGTTTAAAGAAAAGTTGCAAAAATATAGTAGTTCCCTTTATCTGTGGCTTCACTTTCCATGGTTTTGTTACCCATGGCCAACAGTGGTCTTGGAAGATGATCCTCCTGACTTACTCTCAATAGTAGCCTAATGCTAGGTCACAGTGTCTACATCACTGCCTCACTTCATCTCATCACATAGGCATTTTATCATCTCATGTCATCACAGGAAGAAGGGCGAGTAAGTATGGTAAGGTATTTTGAGAGAGACCACATTCATGTAACTTTTATTGTGCATTGTTTTTGTTTTATTATCTATTGTTAATCTACTTGTTTTATTATCTATTGTTAATCTACTGTGCCTAATTTATAAATTAAACTTTATCATAGGTATATATGTATAGGAAAAATTTATATACATAGGCTTTGATATTATACACCGTTTCAGGCATCCACTGGGAATCCCTGAATGTTTTCCCGGTGGATAAGAGGAGACTATTATAGTACAAAGGACTCCTGTGTATCTATAACATTTTTGCTATACCATAGTTTTTCTCTATACACACACACACACACACGCACACCAGTATCTATTTCTGGGGAACAAGGCCATTCCTTTACATAAGCAAGCCACAATTTTCAAATGGATAGCATTTAAATTGATATAAAATTGGATGTAGGGATAGACAAGATAGGTAAGGGGAAGTAGAAGGTAAAGACCTCGATTTATAAAATAAATAAGTCATGGGAATGAAGAACACAGCATAGAGAATATAGTTATTAATATTATAATAACTTTGTATGCTGACAGATGGTGACTACACTTAATCATGGTGAGCATTTTGTAATGTTTATGATTGTCAAATCAGTATGTTGCACACCTGAAGCTAACAATATTGTATGTCAGTTATACTTCAGTTTACAAAAAAAGTTATTAAAAAAGAAGTAAATTGATACAAAATTATCCAAACTTTAGATCTTATTCACATTTTGCCAGTTATCTCAAATATCATTTTTCTTTCCTTTCCATTTTTTTTTTTTAAGTAATCTCTGTACCCAATGTACACAAACCCAAGATCAAGTCATATGCTTCACTGACTGAGCCAGCCAAGTGCCCCTCAAATAATGTCATTTAACACTTTTTCCCCCAGGGCCAGGATTCAGTCCAGGGGATGCATTGTATTTAGTTTTCATACCTCTTTGGTTTAATTTGAGAGACAAAATTCCTTAGCTTTTCTTTCATCTTTCATGATATTGGCATTTATGTTATAGAATGTCCCAGGATCCTTGTAGTTTTGTTTGATATTTCCTCCTGATTTGACTCAGGTTATATATTTCTGGCCATCTCTTCAATAGCTCAGTGGAATTGTTTAGGTTTTTGACAGATACTTTTTTCCCTGTGCATTATAGATGAGGCCATTTATAAATATGGAAAAGAAAATGTGAAGACCTATTCAACCACCTTTACCCCAATGTATCATGCAGTTACCAAAAGAAAAACAAAATGTGTGATGAAAATGGTTTGTGCCACCATGGAGGAAAAGGTATGGGAAAAATGTGGGAAACTAAAGGATATCTTCAGACTTGGCAGGGATTGTGTGTGGGGGGGTATTTTGGTGAGGTGTGGGGTAGAGAGACCAAGTAAGGAGTTAAGCCTTCTCTGTTTCAACTAGTGCAGTCCCACTTTTATCTGCCTACATATATTAGAGTTCTTTGTAATAATTCATATAGAAAGAAGGTTCCAGGGGCACCTGGGGTGGCTTGGTCAATTAAGTGTCTGCCTTTGGCTCAGGTCATGATCTCAGGGCCCTAGGATTAAGTCCTACGTTGGGCTCCCTGCTCAGCAGGGAATCTGCTTCTCTCTCTCCCTCTGCTCCATTCTACCCCCACCACTGTAAGTGTAGCATTCAGTAGTATATTCTTGATTTATTTTTTTTTTTAAGATTTTTATTTATTTATTTGGGAGAGAGAGAGTAGTGAGTGTAAGCGCACAAGTGGGCAGAGGGGCAAGAGAGGGAGAAGCAGACTCCCTGCTTAGCAGGGAGCATGACTTTATGACTCTGCTCAATTCCAGTGCCCTGGGATCCCTGGGTGGCACAGTGGTTTAGCGCCTGCCTTTGGCCCAGGGCACGATCCTGGAGACCCGGGATCGGATCCCACGTCGGGCTCCCGGTGCATGGAGCCTGCTTCTCCCTCTGCCTATGTCTCTGCCTCTCTCTCTCACTGTGTGCCTATCATAAATAAATAAAAATTAAAAAAAAATTATAAAAAAAAAAATCCAGTGCCCTAGGATCATGACCTGAGCTGCAGGTGGATGCTTAACCCACTAAGCCACCCAGCCACCCTTATTCTTGAATTTTATTTTATTTATTTTTAAAAAAATATTTATTTATTCGTGAGACACACACAGAGAGAGAGAGAGTGGCAGAGACATAGGCAGAGGGAGAAGCAGGCTCCACGCAGGGAGCCTGACATGGAACTCGATCCCAGGTCTTCAGGATCAGGCCCTGGGCCAAAGGCAGCACTAAACGGCTGAGCCACCTGGGCTGCCCCTGATTTTTTTTTTTTAAGGTTTTATTTATTTATTCATGAGAGACACAGATAGGCAAAGACATAGACAGAGCCTGATGCAGGACTCGATCTCAGGACCACAGGATCACCTGAGCCAAAGGCAGACAGACACTCAACCACTTAGCCACCCAGGTGTCCCTTGATTTATTTTTAAACAAAATATTCTTGAGCTACATTTTATACTTTCTAACTTTGCTAAGGGTATTTGCTGGGGTGAACATTAGCATAGTTTTGAAATTATTAAGAAGCCTAACTGGAAAATACAATATGAAACAAATGCCTCTTAGTGGTCCTTCAAGCAGTTGTCCAGTATGTATGGACTGAGCACCATCTTTTGCTTCGTTGTATGGCGAGAGTGGGAAGCAAATGTAGGCAGGTCCCCTCTGTCTAGAGAGTAAAATCTGCAGGGAAGATGGGACTCTAATTTTCCATCTCCACATAAACAGAACATTGTGGTTGTGATAGAGTCATGATGGAGAAATATTGGTGCTGAGAAATCACATGATAAACAATTTAACTTGGTTGGGAAGGCAAGTATGGCCATCTGAAGAATGAAGGAGCTTTAACTCCAAAGGGGAGGAAGAATTGCCCAGACAGGTAACAGCTTGTACAAAGGATAGAGCATGGTGAATACTCAGGACAGAAGAAAAGCCAGTGGGGCCAGAATGAGGTGAGCCTGAGCAGGGAGGGTTGTGTGGGGTGGGCCGGGAAATATATGGACACAGGACTGCCTGCGTAGCACCTTGTAGGCTGTGGCATGCCATGTCCAGATAAGAGATTCAGGTTTTTTAGAGGTTTTAAAATATCACATATCTTGCATGACGAATAAAAAATATATTAGTCTACCTAATAAAAACTTTTAAGAATTTTTCCTCTTTACCCCCAGGTGGTTGGGATCCATATGCAAGGAATTGGGTGTGATGAAATGCTGCAGGGTTTTGCTGTTGCGGTAAAAATGGGAGCGACCAAAGCTGACTTTGACAACACAGTTGCTATTCACCCTACCTCTTCCGAAGAACTGGTCACACTTCGTTGAAAACCCAGAGACTTGTATGGCCAGCAGGTGGACCAGTAGACCTAAAACGAACCAAATAACATGTTTTCTCACTGTTCCCATTTTATGTATCTCTTTGTTGTAATCAGAATATTCTGATAGTGGAAATTTTCAGTGCATAATAGAACTTATGTAATTAGAAATTTGTTTTGTCATCCAGGATTGATTTTCATTTGATTGCATCTCACAGTAATCAATATTTTAAAGGTGGTTGTTTTGTTTTGTTTTGTTTTTTTCCTTATTAACAGCTCTTTGCTAGCTGTTTTTTTGTTTTGTTTTGTTCTATTTTGTTTTTGTTTCAGCCTTATCCCAGGTAGAAGACTATATGAAGTACAGGTAATTAAAGTACTTGAAAGAAATTAACTTGCTAATTTTTATAGATGAAGATGACAACAGCTCTTCACATTTAGATAATGCAAGTGCACAGTCATGTTAACTTTTGAAGCCAGTACTGTGCTCTGCATATTGCAAAGCTGCTTCAAAGATGTGACCTTTTTCTAAAAGCATAACATGAGAGACCCACCTTCCCTATTTTATTTTATTTTTGTTTAAAATGATTAAAAATCGTGTTCCTTTTATGAAGTGAAGTACATCACACTTGGAAAAGATGTGTGCCTCATAAGTGAGGGACATTTTGGAAGTAGTTTCTACTTTCAGAAGGAGAAGAATTCAAAGTCTCTTCCTCTGCTAAGAGTTCATAGTTCAATGAATGATTTCAATTTTTTATGTGTTCTTGTCATTTTTTTTCCTGAAAACTATTTCCAAAAACCTGAAAATAAAAGCATAGCCTTTTCTTCTTATAAAATTTGTTATTATGGGCAGCCCTGGTGGCCCAGCAGTTTAGCGCCGCCTTCAGCCCAGGGTGTGATCCTGGAGATCCAGGATAGAGTCCCACGTCGGGTTCCCTGCGTGGAGCCTGCTTCTCCCTCTGCCTGTGTCTCTGCCTCTCTCTCTCTCTCTCTCTGCCTCTCATGAATAAATAAATAAAATCTTTCAAAAAAACCTGTTATTATGAATTTATAGCTAATAGTTCATTTTCTAAGACTATTTCATGTTGGAGATTACATGCTAATAGTGAGCTACCTTATGTAGGCTTAAGGCCTTATGAGAGGTGGATTTTTATAGATTGAGAGCAGTATTCAAGAGAAACATTTAGGGACACCTGGGTGGCTCAGTGGTTGAGTGTCTGCCTTTGGCTCAGGTCATGACTTTGGGGTCTTGGGATCGAGTCCCACATTGGGCTCCCACAAGGAGTCTGCTTCTCCCTCTGCCTAAGTCTCTGCCTCTGTGTCTCTCATGAATAAATAAATAAAATCTTAAAAAAAAAATAAACAGAGTTAATGATTGAAAAGGAAGAACAGTTTAGAAATCACTTAGTTTTTAGCATTTTATTACCATTAGCTTGTACCAACTAGGTAAGTTAGTTACATTTTTCCATAGTTTTCATTAGTGACATAGTGCTACTGACTTTTTTCACGGAGCTTTTACTGAATGTCTTTCTGGTTAGCCATGGCCAGGTCGCTGTCCTGACTTGTTGAGTAAGCCCAATGTCAACAGAAAAAAAAATGCTATGTTAATAACTAGATTATGTAACTGTTGCAGCAAGAAAATAGGATCCAAAAACCTGGGCATGGACTGATATCCCCTCCTCACCGTCCCCGAGTCTCTTTGCCAATAGCCTAAAAGGTAGTGGACTAAGGTTCTGGGCTCTGCTGACCTGGTTTGTTTCTTATTCTGCATAGGGCCCAGACTTCGGGTGTGACTTTGTAAAGAATAGGGGACACCCTCCTAGTTACATCCACTGTAACACCATATATTTTTTATCTTCAATGTTCTTTGCACTGCTTTTTACTGGGTCTGTAGTAAACCAACATACAGAAAACCCTTTCCAAGTTGTGGCCTTCATTCTTATCAGTTCCCAAATGGGTCTAACCTGTGAGTTGATCTAGCACCACAGGCTTGGTTACACAAAGCACTGGGCAATGTGAAGCTGTACAAGGTAGCACATTGTATAACCTCTGGCACATTATTGGTCCCCAGTAGATATTTGCTGAGGGAAAGGTGTGGTACAGTTGACCCTTGAGCAATATAGGTTTGAATCGTGTGGATCTACTTATATGTGGGTATTTTACAGTACTGTAAATGTATTTTCCTTTTGATTTTCTTAACATTTTGTTTTATCTGTTTGTTTTTTAGTGAGCTCTACACCCAGTATAGGGCTTGAACTCATGACCCCAAGATCAAAAGTCACAAGGTCTCCTGCTCTACTGACTCAGCCAGTCAGACACCCCTCTAGCTTATTTTATTGTAATAATGCAGTATATAATACATACAACATACAAAATAATGTGTTAATCAACTGTTTAGGTTATCAGTAAGGCTTCCAGCCAACCATAGGCTATTAGCAGTTCAGTTGATGGGGAGTCAAGTTATTCAGGTGTTTTACTACATGGGGGAATTGATGCCCATAACCCCCTCAACCCATTGTTCAAGGATCAACTGTATTTTCAAGTCTAGAAATTAGAGATAAAATTCTACATTAATAACTCATTCAAAACAGTGTGCTAGTCACAGGGTGACCATATGATCTATTGCCTAGAATAGGACACCGTTGGGAGTGAAAGGGGGGGCACTATTAATTAACTGGAACCACAGGCATTAATTTGTACCATTGTAGAAAAACAGGACAGTGCCACTCTAAGCATTATTGGAAGAGGTAGAAGTATGCAAATTAAGAGGCAGAAAGTACCATTTTGCTGGGAAAACTAAAGGGCATGAAGAAGAGATTATATAGGGTGTGGAATTTGGGATTGTGGAGAAGACCAGAACATGTTGAAGGTGCAGTGAGGCAGAACTGGGCAAAGTACATATGAGAATGATAGAGTTCAATTTGGTTGGAGCATTAGAGTGGATGTTGGTTTTATGTAGAATGTTCTTCCCCACTTATTTATCTGATGTTCTGGTTATGTGTTGCTCCATAACAAACTTCCTGAAAGCTTAATGCCTTATAGCAATTTTTTTTTTAATGTATTGCAATTTTGAGGGTCAGGAATAGGAGCAAGACTCAGCTTGCAAGGATGACTCTTCTGTTGCTGTTGGCAAAGATCATTTGTTGGTACTCAAATGGCAAAGGGGCTGGTCTAGAGATTCTAAAATCATCATTCTTTCATCTGGCACTTAGACAAGGATGACTGATTAGAAGACTGGCCTTACCTGGGACTGTGAACTGAGTTGCCTATATGTAGATTTTCCCAGCCTAGCAGTCTTAAAAGTTGGTAGATTTACATGGAAGCTCAGGGCTCTCAGAGATTGTTTTCAAGATTCCTACACAGATGCTGCAAGCCTTATGATCCAACCTCAGAAGTTCTAGAACATCACCTGTGCCACATGCTATTGGTTAAGCAAATCACTAAGGCCAGCCCAGATTTTTGAGGAAGTGAATCGGACTTCACCTTTCAGTTGAAGGTGTGGTAGAGTTTGTCCATCTTTAATCACACACCTACCAACTTAGTTTACAAGGCTTACCTTAAACCATCTTTGTGAAGACTTCTATAGTACTTCTATAGTAGTTTTATGTATTATATATTTCCATAACACCCTGCCTTATAGTAGGACTGTAGTCACATAGTGGGTCTGCAGTACGTGTTCACCTGGTCATTTTACACTTAACATCAATCAGTTTTATAGTCTCAGTATTGAGTTTCACAGTATTGTTCCTAGTATATCCTGTAGCAACTTTTGCTGCAAGAAGGCAAACGCGTATTACTGTGTGATTTTTGACACTAAAGTAGTAGAAAAGGCCAACATTCTTATCCTTTACTTTTTTGAAAAATTATAGGCTGGGTGTTCAGGTCTTCAACAGGTTTTTCCCATTCTATGAATCTGACCTCGTAGATGTAGATGAAGAGCTGTTAGAGATGGATACAGAAGATGGTTTTCATTGTGCCTAACTCAGAAATACTCTTTATTGCCATTGGTACAGTATTTTAGCACGTTGATTCTTAAGTGAAGATCAGTGTTTTAAAGGTAAGTGATTATATAGTCATTTCTGTATTCTGTGTAGTATGTTTTCTTAAGGTGTTTTTATTATTTATTTATTTTGAAGATTTTATTTATTTATTCATGAGAGACACAGAGAGAAAGACAGAGGCAGAGACACAGGCAGAGAGAGAAGCAGGCTCCATGCAGGGAGCCTGATATGGGACTCGGTCCCAGTCTCCAGGATCAGGCCCTGGGCTGAAGGCAGGCGCTAAACCACTGAGCCACCCAGACGTCCCTGTGTAGTATGTTTTAAGTGCTATTTAATGTGTTGGGGCAGTGTCAAAAGGTAGAAAAGTGTTGGATGCAAGGGCTTGGTTGTATCCAGACTTGAAATTTTTATGGAAATAATTCCTCCTTTTTAAAAGATTTTATTGACATTTGAGAGAGTGAGCACATACGAGAGGGGAAGGGACAGAGGGAGAATGAGAAGCAGACTCCACACAGAGGAGGGAGCCAACTCCAGGACCCTGGGATCATGACCTGAGCCAAAGGCAGACACTTACCCGATTGAGTCACCCAGGCACCCCCACCCGCATGCTCCCTATTTTAAGTTCTTTATCTATAAGTTGTAGTAGCGGACATTTGTTCTTTAGCTGTTCAGCATCTAGATTCCTTAAGTTTGGGGCCCAAACTTTAATGAGTCTCAGAAACAAAGCCTATCTCTCCACATAAACCTGAAAGTGCCAGATGCATGCTTCCCCGGCTCCCTTGCTGCTACAGAGAAGGCACATGACATAGTCTTGAGCAATCAGATGTATCTGCCCCTGACTACTCAGAAACCAGTGATGCAAAGAAATAGGGGGTAGGAGGGAGAGCACAAGGGTGAGGGGCAGAAGGATGAGCAGACTCCCTGCTGAGCAGGGAGCCTGATGCAAGACTGAATCCCAGGACCCCAGGATCATGCTCTGAGCTAAAAGCAGATGCTCAACCATTGAGCCACCCCGGCATCCCAAACCTGGGTTTTTTCATCCTAAATGTAGCCCTATCCATTCACCAAATTGCTAATTATGGGGAGGGAAAGCTGACACGTGAGCCAAGTGTAGCGAGAGTTATGTTAGGGTAGTACCAGGAGCTAGAACCAAACCAAGGGCCTGAGAAACCCACACTGAGGGGTCCGAGAAGGCTTTGGACTAGAGAACTTTCCTTTTCTTTCCACGTCTTCTTACTGGATCAGAACCAGTAACATACACAATTCTATAATTAGCTTCCATTGAACCCAAACCTTTCATTGACCTTGTATCCTCTCTTGTTTCATTACTTTGCATCTATTTCTAGCAAAAGTCTTAAAAGAATTGTGTAGACATTCTACTTCCTCAATTCTCAGGCATTCATCTCCATCACATCATGGAAATTGCCCCAGCACAAGTTACTAATGACCATGTGATATGAAATGGTTAATTCTCCCAATGGTTAATTCTCAAGCTTCATCTTGCATGACTTCCCACCAGTATTTATCATTTGATCAAACCTTTCATGAAATGCCTTCACCAGCCTTCTGGGATACCCACTCCCTTTTGGTTCTTTTTTTTTTTTTTTAAAGATTTTATTTATTTATTCATGAGAGACACCAAGAGAGAGGCAGAGACACAGGCAGAGGGAGAAGCAGGCTCCATGCAGGGAGCCTGACGTGGGACTTGATCCTGGCTCCCCAGGATCACACCCCGGGCCGAAGGCAGCGCTAAACCACTGGGCCACCAGGGCTGCCCTCCCTTTTGGTTCTTATTCTCCTTCACTGACACCTTCTCAGCATCCTTGGTGGTCTTCCTTCGAGTGTCCTCAAGCTCATTCCTTGGCCTTCTTTTCTTTTCTATCTGTATTTGCTCTGTAGAGGAGCTGATCCAGTTCTGTGGCTTTAAATACTATCTCTAAATTGATTCCTACAGCCAAGTGCCTACCCAACAATTCTTTCTAGATATCTGATAGGCATTGTCAGCTTAATGTGGCCAAACAAAACAATATCCTCCTCCAGACTTGCTTCTTTCCTAATGCAGCTTTCTCATTAAATGGATCACCATTCACTGTTACTCAAAGCCAAGATTTGTAGTCATCCTTGACTTCACTATTTAATTTTTAATTTTAATTTTTTGTTGACTTCACTCTTTAAGTGAAAGTTCTTTTTTTAAAAAAAATATTTTATTTATTTATTCATGAGAGACACACACAGAAAGAGAGAGAGGCACAGACACAGGCAGAGGGAGAAGCAGGCTCCATTCCATGCAGGGAGCCTGATGTGGGACTTGATCCTGGGTCTTCAGGCTCACACCCTGGGTTGAAGGTGGTGCTAAACCGCTGAACCACCCAGGCTGCCCCTAAGTGAAGGTTCTTTTTCTTTTCTTTTTTTTTTTTTAAGTGAAGGTTCTTAAATGGCTTGCAGGGCTTTATAAAATTTGCTCTGTGATGCACTGGCTTCCTCTCAAAAAAAAGCATCAGTTCCCTCTCCTTAAAAAAGCTCTTCTCTTTGCTCCCCACCCTTCTCCCCAACATGGCTCATCTTTCCTTTTACCTCAGCACTCTTCTCCGCTCTCACTTTATCAGAGGTGTCTTCTCTGATGCTGTCACTCCCTATCCTCTGGTCTTACTAATTCTTAAACAAATGTCATGTGTTTCATACATATGAATATATAAAGTAACATACAAATATATAGTTTATACACTTATATATACAAATACATTTTATATGTCTACATATACATACAGGTATATAGATATATTTATAGCTGTGAGTGTGTATGTCTATCTTCCCCACTAAAATAGCTCCACTAAGATAAGAACTTTGTATTGTTCATCTGTGTGTCCAAATAGCACTGAGGGGGCAGCCCGGGTGGCTCAGCAGTTTAGCGCCGCCTTCGGCCCAGGGCGTGATACTGGAGACCCGGGATCGAGTCCCACGTCGGGCTTCCTGCATGGAGCCTGCTTCTCCCTCTGCCTGTGTCTCTGCCTCTCTCTCTCTCTCTGTGTCTCTCATGAATTAAAAAACAAAATAACAACAACAACAACAACAAAAAGCACTGAGGTAGAACGTAGATCATAGCATTTGTTGAATGGGGAGAACATGGCATGGGGGATGGGCATGAAGATTGGACACTGCACTAAAGGAATTAGAGATGATGTTGGAGAACAGGCTAGGTTGGGATGTAGGTCCTTCAGAGGAGACAGAAATATATATATATATATCTGCACAAAGTATGATTTTTATGTAAGATACCTGGAGAGAGTGGTAGCTCAACACCCAGTTTTGTGGATGGGTTTCAAGATTCACTAGCCTGAATCTCAGATGAAGAAGGGACTGGATGAAAAGGAGCTATAAGGGATCTGTGGATGGGACTTTTGGGTAGGGCTGAGCACCCTGATGGTAGGAAGCTCCCTTGCAAAGGCAAAGGTGGAAGGGGTTAATAAGGACTCAGAGATCAGGTTAAGGTACTTAAAGGGATTAGATCCAACAAATTGCTCCAGAAGAAGGAGTGAATTCAAAGGATGAGAATGAGTCCAGGAGTCTACCTTGTCAAAAGCAAGGCAAATGTTGGCAATGGATAGAGCTGACTGATGCACTATCTGTATATGTTCTTATCAGAAAGACAGTAAGGACCCTGTCAGGCAAGGGGTTATTGGGAATAGTTGACTTGCATATTAAGAGGCTGTAGGTGAGAAAAGATGGCATTGAAAGTAGAGAGAGACTAACTATAGACGTTGTGTTAGGAGACCAGTTGACCACTTTATGAGGAGTCTTAATGAAGTAGTAGGACACAGATTGGTCCTTAGCTTTATAGGCACAAAAGCTAAAAAGTGTCAGTGCATTCACACTTTATCTGGCTGGGAGGAACTCAATGGCTTTCAACCATGAAGTTTATTTCTCACTCATGCCACATGGTTCTTGTGGATGGGCCGTACCTACTTTTGCTTCATACCTTCTTCACTCCAGGATCAGGTTGACAAAGTGCCCCAATCTGGAATATGGCAAGGTCTCATGGCAGAGGGAAAAGCAAGACGGTGCTTTTTAAAAGATAGCTCTTACGTGAAATCTTTTTTTTTTAAAGATTTTATTTATTTACTCATGAGAGACATATCAAGTGAGAGGCAGAGACAAAGGCAGAGGGAGAAGCAGGCTCCCTGCAAGGAGCCCTATGTGGGACTTGATCATGGATCCCTGGATGCGTGTCCCGGGATCACATCCTGAGCCAAAGGCAGATGCTCAACTGCTGAGCCACCCAGGCATCCCTTAAGTGAAATCTTCTCCTTGGATGTCACATGTGTCATTTTGTTCATATTCCATTAGCCAAAGCAAGTCACATAGCACTCCTATGTTCAACAGGGTGGCAGTATACTCCTTCTGGAAGAGGAGGTGAATAATTATGAACAATTATACAGTTTACTACAGATGCCATTGGATTTGGCAATTGGGAAAGCATCAGTGACCTTTGAAAAGAGTTTAACTGGAGAGTTGGGTTCTATAAGGGATACACTGGACCAGATGGATCTCACAGATATTTACAGAACTTTACATCCAAATGCAACTGAATTCACATTCTTCTCAAGTGCACGTGGAACTTTGTCCAGAAGAGACCACATACTGGGTCACAAATCAGGTCGTAACCGATACCAAAAGATTGGGATCGTCCCCTGCGTATTTTCAGACCATAATGCTCTGAAACTAGAACTCAACCACAAGAAGAAGTTTGCAAGGATTTCAAACACGTGCAGGTTAAGGACCTTCCTGCTAAAAGATGAAAGGGTCAACCAGGACATTAGAGAAGAATTAAAAAGATTCACGGAAACCAATGAGAATGAAGATACAACCAATCATTCAAAATCTTTGGGATATAGCAAAAGCGGTCCCAAATAGGGGAAATACATCGCAAACAAGCATCCATCCAAACACTGGAAAGAACTCAAATACAAAAGCTGACCTTGCACCTAAAGGAGCTGGAGAAGGAAGAGCAAATGAAACCTTCACCCAGCAGAAGACAACGGTTAATAAAAATTCAAGCAGAACTCAATGAAATAGAGAGCAGAAGAACTGGGGAAACACAGGAGGTGGTTCTTTGAAAGAACTAATATGAGAGAGAAACCATTAAGCCAGCCTTATTAAAAGAAGAGAGAAAAGACTCAAATTAATAAAATCATGAATGAGAAAGGAGAGACCACCACCACCACCAAGGAAATACAAACGATCTTAAAAACTCATTCTGAGCAGCTAAACGCCAATAAATTGGGAAATCGAGAAGAAACGGACGCATTTCCGAAAAACCACAAACTACCAAAACCGGAAAAGGAAACCCGAAAAAGCCAATATCCAGGGAGGAAATTGAAGCAGTCATCATCAAAGACCTCCCAAGACACAAAAGTCCAGGGCCGGATGGCTTCCCTGGGGAATGCTATCAAACGTTTAAAGAAGAAACCGTACCTGTTCTACTAAAGCGGTTCCGAAAGACAGAAAAGAGATGGAATACTTCCAAACTCGTTCTTGGAGGCCAGCATCACCTTAAGTCCAAAAGCAGACAAAGACCCCACCAAAAAAGGAGAGTTATAGACCGATAGACCTGATGAACACGGATGCAAACATTCTCCACAAGATACGAGCCAATAGGATCCAACGGTACATTAAGAAGTTACTCACCATTACCAGGTGGGATTTCTCCCAGGGATGCAAGGCTGGTTCAACACTCGGAAAGCATACCACGTAACTGATCAGATCTGCAAGAGAAGAAACAAGAACCAGACGATCTTCTCAAGAGATGCAGAGAAAGCATTTGACAAAATACGGCATCCATTCCTGATCCAAACGCTTCAGAGTACAGGGATAGAGGGAATGTTCCCCAGCATCTTCAAAGCCATCTACGGAAAAGAAAGCCCGCAGCAAATTATCATCCTCAATGTGGAAACACTGGGAGTCTTTCCCCGAAGATCAGGAACGAGACAGGGGTGTCCACTCTCACCACGGCTACTCAACATACTACTAGATGTCACAGCCTCAGCAATCAAGCAACAAAAAGAAATAAAAGGCATTCAAACCGGCAAAGAAGTAGTCAAACTCTCCCTCTTCGCCGATGACATAATACTGGACCTAGAAAACACAAAAGACTCCACCCCAAGATTGCTAGAACTCATATGGCTAATTCGGCAGCGTGGCAGGATACTATATCAATGCCCAGAAATCAGTGGCCTCTCTATACACCAACGATGAGACTGAAGAAAGAGAAATTAAGGAGTCAGTCCCATTGACAATTGCACCCAAAAGCATGAGATACCTAGGAATACACCTAACCAAAGAGGTAAAGGATCTCTACCCGAAAAACTACAGAACACTTCTGAAAGAAATTGAGGAAGACACAAAGAGATGGAAAACTATTCCATGCTCCTGGATTGGAAGAATTAATATACTGGGAAAATGTCAACGTGACCCAGGGCAATGTACACATTGAACGCAATCCCTATCACAAATACCACGGGCTCTCTTCAGAGAGTTGGAACAAATCATCTGAAGATTAGTGTGGAATCAGAAAACACCCTGAATGGCCAGGGCAATATTAGAAAACAAAACCACAGCTGGCGGCATCACAATGTCGGATGTCAGGTTGTGCTACAAAGCTGTGCTCATCAAGACAGTGTGGTACTGGCACAAAGACACACACAACACAGATCAAAGGGACAGAAGAGAGAAATCCAGAAGTGGACCCTCAACTCTACGGTCAAGACCATATATTCCACCAAGCAGGAAAACCATCCACTGGAAGAAAGACAGTCTCTTCAATAAAGGCTGCTGGGGAACGTTGGACAGCCACATGCAGAAGAGTGAAACTGGACCATTCTCTCACACCGTACACAGAGATAAAACTCAAAATGGATGAAGGATGTAAATGTGAGACAAGATTCCATCAAAATCCTCCGGGAGAACACAGGCAACAACACCCTTCTTGAACTGGGCCACAGCAACTCCTTACAAATCACATCATCCACGAAGGCCAGAGAAACAAAAGCGAAAATGGACTACTGGGGCTTCATCAAGATGAGCAGCTTCCGCACAGCAAAAGCAGCACTCAACAAAACTCAAAGACAACCTCCAGACGGGAGAAGATACGTGCAAATGACGCGTCAGATAAAGGGCCAGCATCCAAGATCTCTGAAGAACTTCTGCAACTCCACAGCAAGGAGACCAACCATCCAATCCGGAAATGGGCAAATGACACGAACAGAAAAGTCACGAGGAAGACGTAGTCGTGGCCAACAGGCACACGAGACCATGCTCTGCATCACTGGCCATCAGGGAAATACAGATCAAAACCAGAATGAGATCCCACCTCACACTTCTCACCGGTGAGAACATTGCCAGGGCAGGAAACACCAAATGTGGGAGAGGCCGTGGAGAAAGGGGCACGTTTTCAAAATTCAAAACTTTCAGAAGTAGCCATACTCACCTGATAGGGACCAAGGGAGGGCGGGGGGGGGGGGCGCGTGCTCCCGGCCAGGCTAGGGAGCTTAGGGGATGGGACCTGAGAGCGGGGAGGGGGGAGGGGGGCGGAGGAAGAGCCAAGGGCCTTGGGGGGCTCCTGGGGCCCAGCAGCCCAGGCCCTCAAGCCACCGCCCCAAGGCCGTGCCCTGACGGTGGACGGTGCCTGCATCCTCACCCCTCCGAGCGCGCGCGCAAGGGTTCGGCGGCACCTCCCCGAGCCCCGGGGGAGGGGCCCCGCACCCTCCCTGAGCCGCCCGGAGGAGCCCTGACCCGGAGGAGGCCCCACCGCAACGCAACCCCCCTCCGCCAACAGGTCCCGCCCCTCCTCCCCCGCGCAGCCCTCGGCCCGGCACCCTGGCGGCCCAAAGGGGGGCGGCCCCCGAGGCCCGCTGTCCCCCGCCCGGCCCCTCCCAGGCACCCGCCGCGCCACACGCGAGGGCCACATGCCTCTCGCACAGCCACCCCGGGGCCCCTCACGCCTCCCGGGGCCCACGCCGACCTGCGCGCCGGGGGCCGGGGCCTGCAGAGCCGCTGCCGGGAGCCCGCAGCGCCGGGAACCGCAGGCCTGGAGCCGCGCTGCCGCCGCGCAACCGCCTGCCACGGCCGCGTCGGGTCGCCGCGTCTGCGCCCAGCTCCTCCTGCGGCCACGCCCCGGCGCCCTTCAGGTCACGCTCGGGGTCAGGCGCCCCGGCAAGCCCCCGGCCACGCCGCGGCCACGCCCCCCGCCGAGCCCGGAGGGGACCCGAGACCGCCTCTGCCTCCGCCCGCTAGACTGGTCGCGGCGCCGGGGTCCCGGGCCTTGCGCCCCCGGCTCAGTCCCGAGGGCCTCCTGCTCACGGAGGCACGAAGCCTCTCTCTGGCTCTGTGCCTCCCTCCCTGTCCCTCCGCCCGCCCCGGTCTCTGTCTCTCCCTCCCGGTCTTGCCCTGTCTCCCTTCCCCCGTCTCTCTGCCTCTCCCTCCCCCCCCCCGACCCCCGTCTCTCTCTCCCTCCCTCCCAGCCTCTGTGTCCCTCCCAGTCTTTCTTCTCTCACTCCCTATCTCGGCCTGTCCCTCCCTGTCTCTGTCTCCCTGTCCCTGTGTCTACCTTCTTGTCTCTCGGTCTCTCACTTGTCTCCCTCCCTGTCTCATTCTCTCCATCCTGTCTCTGTCTCTGTCTCGGTCTCTCCTCCCTCCCTGTCTCTGACTCTCCCTCCCTGTCTCAGTCTCCCCTCCTGTCTCTCGGTCTCCCTCCCTGCACCTTGGTCTCTCCCCTCTGGCTCATCTCTCCCTCCCTGTCTCTGGATCCCTCCTTCCCTGTCCTGTGTCTCTCCCCCTGTCTCGATCTCTCACCCCCGTCGTCTCAATCTCTCCTCCCTGTCTCCATCTCTCTCTCCCTCCCTGTCTCTCTGTCTCTTCCTCCCTGTCTCTCTGACTCTCCTTCCGTGTCTGGCTCTCTCCCTCCTTGTCTCCGTCTCTCCCTCGCCGTCTCACTGTCTCTCCCTCCATCCCTATCTCTCCCTCCCTGTCTGTGTCCCCGTCCCTGTGTCTGTCCGTCCCTCCCCTCCGGTTCTCTGTCTCTCCTTCCCTCTCCACGTTAGTGAAAGAAAGGACGAGAACCATAGAATTCTCTCAGGAGATGCAGAAAAAGCATTTGACAAAACAGACCATCCTTTCATGATGAAAACCTTCTGCCAGGTATGGATACCGGGAGCAAACCTCAATTATCATAAAAGCCATCTACAAAAGACCCAGAGGGAACGTCCTCTTCATTGGCAAAATCCTGGAGCTTTTTCCCTTAAGGTCAGGAACACGACAGGGTGTCCACCCTCAACGCTGTTGTCCGGCAGAGTGGTAGTGGTCCTAGCTTTCGCAGTGACATTCCAAAACAGAAAGAAAAGGCATCCCGATCAGCAAAGAAGTCAAACTCTCACTCTTCACAGAGGACATGATCCTCCATGTGGGAAACCTCAAATAGTCACTAGATCATACTTAAAGGATCTATCCAACAAGACGACCTAACAATCATGGATATTTATGCCCCGAATGTGGGAGCTGCCACGGATATCAATCAATTGCTAAGCAAAGTTAAGACATACTTAGATAATAATACACTTTTACTTGGAGACTTGAATAAGGCGCTTTCTACAATTGATAGATCTTCCAGGCACAGCATCTCCAAAGGATCAAGAGCAATAATGGTAATGGCCCTAATGACTGATTACTTGCTATTGTTTACATACAATAAACAATATGGTAGTTGCCTTTTATTTATTAAGTCACTTTTATCCTCTTTAGAGGCTCCTCCTCAAATTTGCATGTTGAAACCAGTTCCCCAAAGGATGGTATTAGGAGCTGGAGCTTTTGCGTGGTAATTAGGTTGAGAGGAGAGGGTGCTTAGGATGGGATTAGTGCTTTTAAAAAAGAGACTGGAGAGAGTTTACTTGCTTCCTTCCAGTCTCTCTCTTTTACAGCCCCCTCTCTGCTCTCTGCCATGTGAGGACACTGCAAGAAGACAGCCATCAGCAAATCAGGAATCAGGCTCTCACCAGATACTAAATCTGTTGGTACCTTGATCTTGGACTTTGCAGCCTCCAGAACTTTGAGAAATAAATGCCTGTTGCTTACGCCTGTCACCCAGTCTCTGGTAATTTGTTAAAGCGGCCCAAACTGACTAAGACAATCCTTTCCATTACAAGTGAGGATTAGAGAGGTAGGAAGTGGTGGAGTAGGAATTCAGGCCAGATCTATCTGGCTCCAAGGCTAGTATTTGAACCCCTGTGGAGTAAAAGGTTCTAGGCAGAGGCAGTGGCAAATGTTTTCTTTTTGGAGAAAATTTGTGAGAGCGAAGATGGGTAGTCTTCGGTAGTGGAATATGCCACCACAAAATATGCCCCCCCACCTTTTAAATATGCCACTTTGGCATAAAGATTATTATGAACTGAAGATAATTGAGAAGCAGGTATAAGAAAGCTTTTTCCTCTCCTCACTTTTTGCCTAAAGGTAGGACATAAATTATAATGGTGTTGTCCCCATGCTCTCTTTACCAGAGAAATATTTATTTATCTATCTGCCCATCTATCTATCTAGATATCTATCTGTCTTAAAGACTTTATTCTTTTTTTTTTTTTAAAGACTTTATTCTTTAGTAATCTCTATACTCAGTATGGGACTCAAACCTACAACCCCAAGACCAGGGGATACATGCTCTACAGACTGAGCCAGTCAGGCACTCCTTAGTGCTCTTTTGTTAAGATGCTAAGACAGTTCAGTCCATGGAGCTTGCCACTCTTGATCTTTGGGTTGTGGGTTCAAGGCCCACGTTGGATGTAGCAATTACTTAAAAATAAAATCTTTTGCAAACTGAACACCAATAAAAAATAAATTTATTATTATTATTTTATTTTATTTATTTTTTTTGAGACAGACCGTGTTGACCGGCCAGACCGCAGGAGCTAAGATAAGGAATCCAGGTCCAAGCATCGTCCCTGCCCCTCCTGGGGCGAATTCGTCCACGAAGGCAGCCAGACCTGAGCCCAACGCGCTGGAGGGGGGCTGGTCCATACCCCGAGGCAGTAAGAGCACTTGAAACCAGGGTGGCCCCGCAGAATAAATTTATTATTAAAAAAATAATATAAAATGATTGTCATTAAAAAAATCTTTTTTTTAAAAGATCTTATTTATTCATGAGAGACGCAGAGAGAGAGAGAGGCAGAGACACAGGCAGAGCCAAAACCAGGCTCCATGCAGAGAGTCCAATGTGGGACTCCATCCAGGTACTCCAGGATCACACCCTGAGCCGAAGGCAGAAGGGCTTAAGCGACAAGCCACCCAGGCGTCCCTTAAAAATAAAATCTTAAAAAAAATACTAAATAAGCTCAAATTCTATCCACCCCTTTGAATCACTCATCTCCCAAGTGTATGTGTGCTGGTCACTAATAAACTTGTCTTTCTTTTGTTATGGTCTCTTTTGTTAGTCTAATTATTGGGAGAACTTAACATGGATAGAGCGGAAAAAAGACCTTTTTTTCTTTATGGGATGAATGCCTGAGAAGGAAGCAGGGTCCTGGAAAGATATTTACAGAATTGGGTAAGCTACCTAAGAAGTATGGGAAAGGCTCTAAGGGAGCAGAGAGCATCAATGCTAGGGAATAAATTGATACAAAACTGGCTCCTATTTCTCAGAACAGGGTAATTTTAACTTTTGGGTTAGTATTTTTCATTTGCTGCCTGCCCCTTCTCCCCATTACACTTCATCAGTTTTTGTTTTTTTTTTAACCAATTTCTGACTTTACCGGGTTGTAATATTCCAGCAAAGTTACATTTCTTGAAGGTATCACATGAACATCAAGTGAGTTTATTAGGAAATCCTCCAGAATGAAACTAATTTCAAAAAGGTACACATCAAAAAAAAAAAAAAAAAGCCACACATCAGTTATCTTTTGGCTTTATTTCCAAGTTTTGAATAAAAATTTATTATTTCATCTAATCTGCACAACAGCCCAATGCAAGTACCTTATTTTGGTAGTACAATTATTCCCATTTCTCAAATGCAAAAACCGATGCACAGGTTAAGTAACTTGACCAACCAGCACTAAGTAATTAAATAATAGCGTTGAGCACTGGCTTTGCTGCCACCGCCGGTAGTAAGAGAAAGGACAGCCGCAGGAAATATGACACACTCCAATACCCTGCAGGCGGTGGGCCGCGCCAGTTGTCTGTTTCGTAGCATTCATTCGTTACTCCTATCTCTTCATGCTAGCTTTTAAGTCTAAATCCTTGTCTAAGGGGGTTCACAGGTGTGGTGGTTGGGGATTTAAGCTGGGCTCCACGCCCGTAATTGGTTGCGCGCTGTGCCGTCTTGAGCAGGTCATTGAGCTTCACCCGACTTCTGTTTCTTTTAAAGATTTTATTTATTTATTCATGAGAGACACAAAGAGAGGCAGAAACAGAGGCAGAAGCAGGCTCCACGCGGGGAGCCCGACGTGGGACTCGATCCCAGGTCTCCAGGGTCACGCCCTGGGCCGAAGGCGACACCAAACCGCTGAGCCGCCCAGGGAAAGGAAAGATTTTTGTTTTCCATTTTGGCAATCGCTCCTCTTCCGACGTAAGCCTCATTCTCCGCCCCCCCCCCCCTTTCCTGCCCGCCCGCCCGCCTGCCGTTGTCCTGGAAATCCGGGACGCCCCGGCCGGCCGACTCCCCTCCCGCGGGCCTCCTGGCGGGGCACGTGACGGCGCACGCGCGTTCTCGCGGGCGGGGGCGCCGCGGTGCCTGCCGGGACGGAGCTCCTCGTAGCCTGATCAGGAAGTGGCGGGCGGAGTTCCCGGCCGAGTCGCGCCGCCTCAGCCGCCGCCGCCGCCGCCGCCGCCGCCGCCAGTGCCGAGACCCCGACCTGGCGGGGCTGCGCTGGGCGTGCGTGCGGGCAGGCGGGGGCGCTGCTGAAGAGGAGCAGGAAGCTGCGGCCACGCGGGCGTGGGCGGCTGGTCGAGGTGGAGGCGCTGGGAGGCGGCGGCCGGTCGCGTGGGGCGGCCCTCCTCGCTCAGGTAGGGGCCGCGGCCGCGGCCGCCGGGTGTGGGGAGCGGAGCCCCGGCCTGTTGTTCCTCGGGGCCGCCTCCTCCCGCGGGGCGAGCCTGTCTTCCGTCTCTCGGAAGACCGCGGGGTCTGCGGTTCTTGCGCGAAACGCCAAACTGTACCAACTTCTGGGACGCATTGTCTTTTAGGCCGGAGGTCCATTGAGCAAACTTTTGGGTTGGAAAGGGGGAAATTCGCAGTCAGGGAGCTGACTGTCTCTCTTCCTGGCCCCCGACTTTACAGGAGCCGTAACTGAGCGGGACGTGTGTGGAGTTGAGGGAACCGCGGGGTCCAGCTAAAGGCGGTGATTTGGATGCACCTCGGAGGGCTCTTTTTTTTTTTTTTAAGCCGCGTTTTGGAGACTCGGTTTGTAATGATTCCTGAACTTTAGTTATTATAGTCGATGTCTGCAAAGTCTTAAGACCTGCTCCAAATCCAAACACTGGGGTACCTTTTCGTCCATCCCCCCATTCCTGGGACTTAGGAGGTAAGCGGTGTCGTTTCCTACCTTGCCGGCTGTTCTTGGCAATGTTCTTGGGCTTATGCGGAGAAGGAAGCAAAGGAGAAGTAGAAAGGTTGAAAAATAAAAGGCGAATGGTAGAGGGGGAAGAACGTGTGCTCTGGAGCTAGATTTTGATTTAATTTTTGGCTGCTCAGTGACCATGGAAGAACACGTGAACTCCCTGAGTTGTGATGATTTTTTTTAAATTTTTTTTGATTTATTTATGATAGTCACAGAGAGAGAGAGAGAGAGAGAGAGAGAGAGAGAGAGAGAGGCAGAGAGAGAGGCAGAGACACAGGCAGAGGGAGAAGCAGACTCCATGCACTGAGAGCCCGACGTGGGATTCGATCCCGGGTCTCCAGGATCGCGCCCTGGGCCAAAGGCAGGCGCCAAACCGCTGCGCCACCCAGGGATCCCGATTTTTTTTTTTTTTTTTAATGGGAAATGGGCATAGGTCTCCTGCATAGGTCAGTATATGTGAAACTGCAGATTTCTGAGTAGTCTGAAAAAAGAGGTGGAAAAGTTAAGCGGAGCATGCGATGGTGGGAGAGAGAGAGAGAGAGAGAGGGAGACCTTCAGCCTTCTGCTCCTAGGTGCCATTGAACGTTACCGGTATCGCACAGGTCGCCTTTGTTTTATTAGAGGCCTTGACCAGCATTTCAGGTCTGGAGTAAGGAAGCTTTTGATTGAGGAGGCCGAGTATTCGTGTCCTGACCTAGGTACTTAACAGCTGTGTGACCCTAAGGGTCCCCTCCTCACTTCAGATTTCACGTATTAAAATAAGGAATAAAACTAGTACCTATCACTTCAGAGAGTTGTGAGACTCAAATTGCTGTAAGCATTTAGGTTTTTGTAAATTGTAAGGCTTTTGTTTAAGCCTGTGTTAAAATCATGGTTAAAAGCCTGGTTTGATTACCTGTCCTAACACAATGACTTAAACAGCTACAGATGTTTCCTGTTTTAGGCTTGTTGCCCCCATTTAATCACTTGTGATTTCTCCTCCCCACAAACACTTACCCTCCCCCCTCGCCTGCTATCTTTCCAATACCCTAGCATAATCCTCCTGTTATTTTTCCTTTTCAGATCCAACTCAGAACAGTAGCAGTGAAGTAACATTTGTATAGCCTTTTTACTCAAAAAATTGCTTTTCACAAGTATTGTCTCATTTTAAAGTTGGGTTAGATGGAGATAGCATTGACAGTATCTTCATTTTGTTTATAATAAAATTGGATTTAGTGAGGTCTATGGATTGCCTAGGTCATGTTGCAGTTACAGATTACTACTGAGGATTCCAGAAGTCAGGTCTTTGATAACAGTGCCAGTGGCTCTTACTCATTCAAGTTTACTCTGATTATTTTCTATCAGTGCTTATATTTTTGACTTTTAGCACTCTGAGTCATATTTTATTCATTTTTTTTAAAGATTTTATTCATTTATTAATGAGAGACGGGGGGGGGGTGTGGGCAGAGACACAGGCAGAGGGAGAAGCAGGCTCCACGCAGGGAGCCTGTGGGGGACTGGATCCCTGGTCTCCAGGATCACGGCCTGGGCTTGAAGGCGTCGCTAAACTGCTGAGCCACCCGGGCCGCCCTTATTCATTTCTTTTTAAGCAAGATGCTCAGTTCTTTCAGATTTTTCAAATGTAAGCTGCTTGAAGGCAAGGGTTTATCTTCTAGAATTCTTCAAAACCTGGAGTACATGAACACAAGACAACTATACAAAGCTTAGAGTCACAAACACAAGACATTTAATAAAGATTTGTGAAACCTGTAACAAGGCTAAAGCCACTTAAAGATGTTTTTGTGTTCATTATTCATTTAACAAATATTGAGCTATTCTCTGCATGAAGGCTTTCAAAGTTCAGATAGGGGCCCTCGGGTGGCTCAGTTGGTTAAGTGTCTGACTTGAGCTTGGCTCTGGTCTTGATCTCAGGGTGGGTGAGTTCAAACCCCATGTTGGGCTCCACACAGTGCAGGGAACCTACTTAGAAGCAAAACAAAAGCAAAGATAGGATCTTTTTCCTCCCAGACCTTCCTTCCCTGCTTGTGAAGAATGCAAAAATCATTTACATGGTCAACTTGTTGTGCTTCCTAGACTTTCCACATATTCTGGGAGAGTTCAAACAAGAGGGGAACTTTTTTGGAGTGTATTTTACACACAATTTTACATTAGTTTCAAGTATACAAAATAGTGATTTTACAACTCTGTACCTTATGTTATGCTTATCAGAAGTATAACTACCATTTGTCACTGTACAATGCTATTATGATACCATTGACTTTATTCCTTGTGCTAAATCTTTCATCCCCATGACTTACTCATTCCATAACTGGAGGCCTGTATATCCCACTCCCTTTCATCCATTTTGCCCATCCCCATGTCCCCCATATTCCCCTCATCCACCTCCTCTCTGGCAACCATTAGTTTATTCTGTGCTTACTGGTGTGAAGAGAGGAATTTTTTTTAAAAAAAGAATTTAATTCCAGTGTAGTTAATGTACAGTGTTGTATTAGTTTCAGGTGTATAATACAGTGATTCACCAATTCGATACTCCTTGCTCATCAAGATAAGTGTACTCTTAATCCCCATTACCGATTTCACCCATCTCTCTCACCTCTCCCCTGGTAACCATCAGTTCTCTATAGCTAAGGGTCTGTTTTTGCTTTGTTTTGTTTCTTAAATTCCACATATGAATGAAATTATATGGTATTTGTCTTTCTCTGATTTATTTCGCTTAACATTATACTCTCCAGATCCATCCATATTGTTGCAAATGGCAAGATATCATTCTTTTTATGGCTGAATCATTCTGTTGTGTATATATTCCACATCTTTTCTATCCATTCCTTTATCGGTGGATACTTGGGCTGCTTCCATAATTTGACTTTGTAAATAATGCTGCAGTCAACATGGGGGTGAATATATCTTTTCGAATTAGTTTTTGTAATTTTTCTTTCTTTTTTTTTTAAAGATTTTATTTATTTATTCATGTGTGAGAGAGAGAGAGGCAGAGACACCAGCAGATGGAGAAGCAGGCTTCTTGCAGGGAGCCTGTTGCAGGACTTAATCCCAGACCAGGATCACACCCTGAGCCCAAGGCAGACTATCAACAACTGAGCCACCTAGGCATCCCAAGTTTCTGTTTTCCTTGGTTGAATACCCTGTAGTATGATTATTGGGTTGTAAAAGAAGAGAGGAACATATTCAAATACTTGTCGAGGGTCACCTGGGTGGCTTAGTAGGTTAAATATCCGACTCTTGATATCAGCACAGGTCTCAATATCATGATTCTGAGTTCAAGCCCCTACTTAAAAACAAATGAATAAAATAAAATCCATGAATGATCTGTGGCTCTTGGTTGTACTGAAGTTGCTTAGAACTGGAGTTTTAGGGCAGCCATTGATGCTGGGCATCATGGCTGCCCTCAGACCTCTGGTGAAGCCCAAGATCGTTAAAAAGAGGACCAAGGAGTTCATCCAGCACCGATATGTTCATAAGTTCATTCAGTCAGACCGATATGTCAAATTTAAGCACAACTGGTGGAAACCCAGAGGCATTGACAATAGGGTACATAGAAGATTCAAGGGCCAGATCTTGATGCCCAACATTGGTTGTGGGAGCAACAAGAAAACAAAGCACGTGCACGTGAAGCACCCAGTGGCTTCAGGAAGTTCCTAGTCCACAATGTCAAGGAGCTTGAAGTGCTGCTGATGTGCAACAAATCTTACTGTGCAGAGATTGCTCACAATGTATCCAAGAACCCTAAAGCCATTGTGGAAAGAGCAACTCAGCTGGCCATCAGAGTCACCAATCCTAATGCCAGGCTGCTTAGCAAAGAAAATGAATTGACATTATGTGCATGTCATATTTGTGTTAGTAAAACCATAAAACTACAAAAAAAAAAAACTGGAGTTTTAGGACTGGGAAAAAAACAAAAGAGGTTTAGTCTCACCACCTTCTGAATCAGGAATTTTCTGTAGGTATTTTTAACTAATTTTAATCCAATTTTTTTAATTGGAGTAAAATTTTTGATTTTACTTAATAGAGAGTTCTATTAAGATTTTTTTTTAAGATTTTATTTATTTAAGAGAGAGAGAGAGAGAAAAGCAGAGACACAGGCAGAGGGAGAAGCAGGCTCCATGCAGGCAGCCTGATGTGGGACTTGATCCCAGGACTCCGGGATCAAGACCTGAGCCAAAGGCAGACACTCAACCGCTGAGCCACCCAGGCATCCTGAGAGTTCACCAGTTTTAAACCACACCTTTTCGGGGACTTCTTTAAAAAAAAAAAAAAAAAGTATAATCGACTCTAGGTGTCTACAATGTTTTATTAGGTTTAGGTGTACAACATATTGAGTCAACAATTATATACATTACTCAGTGCTCACCATAAGTATAGTCCCCAATTGTCACCATGCAACATTATTATTGAGTATATTTAGTAATGTACTTTTCATCTGCATAACTTAGGTATTTTAAAATTGGAAGTCTATATCTCTTTATTGTCTTTACCTATTTTGCCTATCTCCCCACCAACCTCTCCTTTGGCAACCATGAGTTTGTTCTCTGTATTTGAGTCTGTTCATTTGTTTTTTTTAGGTTATACATGTAAATGAAATCATACAGTATTTGTCTCTCTGGTTATTTCACTTAGCATTGTATCCTCTAGGTTTAGCAGTGTTGTCTCAAATGGCAAGAACTCTTTTTTATGGCTAATATCCCTTGTGAGTGTGTATCACAGGTTATTTGTTGACAGATGCTTGGGTTGCCTCCATATCTTGGCTATTGTAAATAATGCTGCAATACACATAGGGCTGCATATATTTCCTTGAATTAGTGTTTTCTTTGGGTAAATGCCAGTAGTGGAATTATTGGATCATATGGTATTTCTAGTTTTAATTTTTTTGAACTTCCGTACTGTTTTCCACAGTGGCTGCACCAGTTTGCTTTCCTGTCAACAGTGCATGAGGGTTGCCTTTCTTCACATTCTTGTCAACACTTGTTCTTTCTTTTTTTTTTTTGATATTAGCCATTCTGATTAATGTGGGGTGATATCTTTTTTTTTTTCTTAAGATTTTTATTTATTCATGAGAGAGAGAGGCAGAGACACAGGCAGAGGGAGAAGCAGGCTCCATGCAGGGAGCCTGATGTGGGACTCGATCCCAGGTCTCCAGGATCACACCCTGTGCTGAAGGCGGTGCTAAACCACTGAGCTACCTGGGCTGCCCATGTTGGGTGATAATCTTACTGTGGTTTTTGATTTGCATTTCCTGGATTAAGTAATGTTAAACATCTTTTCATATATCTGTTGGCCACTTGTATGTCGTCTTTGGAAAAATGTCTATTCAGATCCTCTACCCATTTTTTTAATCAGAGTGGTTGTGGATTAAAATTTATTAAAAATATCTACAGAAAATTTCTGATTTAGAAGGAGGTGGGACTAGAGTTCTTTAAAAAAAAAAGATTTTATTTATTCATGAGAAACAGAGAGAGAAGCAGAGACAAAGGCAGAGGGAGAAGCAGGCTCCCTGTAGGGAGCCCGACGTGAGACTCATTGGGGTCTCCAGGATCATACCCTGGGCAGAAGGCGGCGATAAACCACTCAGCAACCCAGGTTGCCCAGGACTCTTGTTTTTGTTTTGTTTTGTTTTTTTCTTTTTCCCCCCAGTTGTAAAACACCAGTTCTGAGCAGCTTCAGTATAACCAGGGAAGCCACAGATCATTCAACAAGTATTTTATTCATTTGTTTTTATTTTTATTTTTATTTTTTTATTTTATTTTATTTTTTTATAAATTAATTTTTATTGGTGTTCAATTTACCAACATACAGAATAACACCCAGTGCTCATCCCGTCAAGTATTCATTTGTTTTTAAATAGAGGCTTGAACTCCATGGTTGTGGGTTTTTGTTTTTTTTGCCTTTGGTGTTAAATTATATAAGTTCTTTATATATTTTAGATACTAACCCCTTATCGGGTATATAATTTACAAGTATCTTCTGTCGTTCAGTAGGTTATCTTTTTGTTGGTGGTTTCTTTTGCTGTGCACAAGCTTTTTATTTTGATGAAGCCCCAGTAGTTTATTTTTGCTTTTGTCTCCCTTGCTTGAGAAGACCTATCTAGAAAAAATGTTGCTAAGGCCAGTGTCCAAGAGATTACTGTCTATGTTTTCTTTTAGGAGTTTTATTAAAGTTTCGGATCTTACATCTGGTCTTGAATCCATTTTGAGTTTATATTTGTGTGTGGTGTAAGAAAATGGTCCCGTTTCATCGTGGGCTTTTTTTTTTTTTTTTTTTTGCATGTAGCTGTCCAGTTTTCCCCAACACCATTTGTTGAAGAGCCTATCTTTTCCCTGTTGTATATTCTTTCCTCCTTTGTCATGGATTCATTGACCACATAGGTATGGATTTGTTTTTGGGATCTCTGTTCTGTTGATCTAGGTGTCTCTTTTTGTGAGAGAGCCATACTACATAGTTTTGTAGTATATCTTGAAATCTGGGATTGTGATACCTCCAGCTTTGTGCTGCTTTTTCAAGAATACTTTGGCTACTCAGGGTCTTTTGTGTTGTTTTCTTTTTAAGATTTTGTTAAGAGAGAAAGACACCAAGCAGGGGGAGAGGCAGAGGGAGAGAGAGAGCAGGCTCCTTGATGAGCACAGAGCCTGACGTGGGGCTTGATCCCAGGATCTCGGATCATGACCTGAGCCAAAGGCAGATGCTTAAGGGATTGAGCCACCCAGGTACCCCTCTTTTGTGATTTTTTTTTTAATTTTTATTTATTTATGATGGAGAGAGAGAGAGAGAGAGAGAGAGGCAGGCAGAGACACAGGCAGAGGGAGAAGCAGGCTCCATGCACCGGGAGCCCGATGTGGGATTCGATCCCGGGTCTCCAGGATCGCGCCCTGGGCCAAAGGCAGGCGCCAAACCGCTGCGCCACCCAGGGATCCCCTCTTTTGTGATTTTATACAAATTTTAGGATTATGTGTTCTAGTTCTGTGAAAAAATGCTAATGGTATTTTGATTGGGATTGCATTGAATCTGAAGATTGCTTTAAGAAGTAAGGACATTTTAATGATACTCTTTTAATCCGTGAATGTGGAATATCTTTCCATTTATGTCATCTTCAGTTTCTTTCATCAATGTTTTATAATTTTTAGAGTGTAGGTCTTTGTGGTTAAATTTATTCTTGGGTATTTTATTCTTTCTGGTGCAGTTGTAAATGGGGTTATTTTTCTTAATTTCTCTTTCTGCTACTTTGTTATTAGAGTATAGGAACAGAACAAATTCCTGTATATTGATTTTTATATCCTGCAACTTTACTGAATTCATGTACTATTTTTTTTGGTGGCGTCTTTAGGGTTTTCTGTATATTAAGTTATGTCTTCTGCAAATAGTAACAGTTTTATGTGTTCATTGCTAGTTTGCCTTTTAAAAATATGTATATTTTTTTAAGATTTTATTTACTTATTTGACAACACAAGCAGGGGGAAGGGTAGAGAGAAGGAGAGGGAGAAACAGAAGCAGGCTCCTTCTGAGCATGAAGGTTGATGTGGGACTTAATCCCAGGACTCTGAGATGGTGACCTGATCCAAAGTCAGACACTTAATTGACCCAGGTGCCCCACAAGTTTGGATGCTTTTTCTTTTCTGATTACTACATCTAGTACTTCCACTGCTGTGTTGAATAAAAGTAGATATCCCTGTCTTATTCCTCGTCTTAGAGGAAAAGCTTTTACCACTGAGTATGATGTTAACTTTGAGTTTTTCATATTTGGTTTTAATTATGTTGAAGTATGTTCCCTCTAAACCCACTTTGTTGAGAATTTTTATCCTGAACAGATTTTTATTTTGTCAAATGCTTTTTATGTATTAGATGATCATATTGTTTGGGGAATTTTTTTTTTTTTTTAAGATGTTATTTATTCGAGAGAGAGGCAGAGACCTAGGCAGAGGGAGAAGCAGGCTCCATACAGGGAGCCTGATCTGGGACTCACCCTGGGACTCCAGGATCGCACCCTGGGCCGAAGGCAGGCACTAAACCGCTGAACCATCCAGGTGACCTAATTTTAATATTTTATTTAACCTAGTGTATCCAAAATATTATCACATCAACATGTAATCTAAAATATCTCATCAGGAATGCCTGGGTGGCTCAGTGGTTGAGTGTCTGCCTTCAGCTCCCAGGGTGTGATTGTGGAGTCCCAGGATCGAGTCTTGTATCAGGCTCCTCGTGAGGGGCCTGCTTCTCCCTCTGCCTATGTCTCTGCCTCTCTCTGTGTCTCTCATGAATAAGTTAATAAAATCTTAAAAAAAAAAATCATCAGTAATTCTAAAAGTTCTTTGTACTATGTTTTAAATCTGATTTGTATTTTATACTTAAAGTGCATCTCAATTCTAGCCCCATTTCAGGTGTTCCATAGGCACATGTGGCCAGTGGCTATCATACTGGACAGTATAGTTCTGGAGCTTTAGAGAATAATTCTTTTTACTAGTGTCTAGCATAGTACCTGGCACACAATAGGCACTAATTAAAGATTTTTAAGTGAGTGACTAAATGAATAAATACAAATGCTGGAGAGCTGGTAATAAAAGGTAATTTTGTTTGGAAGTAATTCTTCTTGGGAGCTAGAGATTTGGTCTATATGTTTGAATGATTAGAGCTTGTATTAAAGATACTTACTTATATCTTTGCAGAATTATGGATCCAAGCCTGTTGAGAGAACGGGAGCTGTTCAAAAAACGAGCTCTCTCCACTCCTGTAGTAGAAAAACGTTCAGTATCTTCTGAATCATCATCATCATCATCAAAGAAGAAGAAAGCAAAGCTAGAACATGGAGGATCATCAGGCTCTAAACAGAATTCTGGTTAGTAAAATTGACTTTCGGATTGTTTAGTTTTTATTTTTCAGAAAACCATTTAGTCATGGCAAGTTCATTTTTTAGTCCAACATCCATCTGTATTTATTGTTAAACACTGTTAAGTATAAGGGAATGTAATGATAAGAGAATATATCGCTTTTAAGATGTTAATAGTCTTGTATTATAGGTAGAATTTAGGTTATTATCTTTTCAGAAAATAACTTTAATTTGTATACTGTTTAGTTCACTCGTTTAAAGTGTACAATTCAAAAATTTTTAGTAAATTTACAGAATTGTGCAATCATTACTATAATTGAATTTTAGAACATTTCCATCATCTCCAAAAGATCCTTTGCACCCATTTGCAGTCACTTCTTGTCTCCGCCCCTGCCCCAGATAAGTCTTTTTTTTTTTTTTTTTTTAATAAACAGTCTATTTTCTGTCTCTGTATATTTGCCTTTTCTGGATATTTCATATAAATGGAATTGAACAATATGTAGTCTTTAGTGTATGGCTTCTTTTATATAGCATTTTTTGAGATGATTGTATTCTTTTTTGTTGTTTATGCAATTAACATGATATATATTACATTAGTTGGTTTTTCAGATGTTAAACCAGTCCTTGCATTCTTGCAATAAATCCTACTTGGTTGTGGTGTATAATTCTTTTTATTTATTGTGGGATTCAGTTTGCTGGTATTTTTTTGGTCCAGGATTCATCTATATGTAGCATGTGTCAGTATTTCATTCTATTTTATTGCTGGCAAGTAATCCATTGTATGGGTATACTACAATTTGTTTATCCCTTCATCAGTCAGTGGACATTTTGATTATATCTTTTTGACTGTTATGAATAGTGCTGCTGCTATGAACATTAATGTACAAGCTTTTTTGTGGACTTTTTTTCCCTCTTGGATAGAGTACCTAAGAGTGGAACTTCTGAGTCATGTGGTATATTTATGTTTAACTTTTTAAGAAACTACCAAAATGACTATACCATTTTACATTTTACATTCTCACCATCAGTGCATGAGGGTTCTATTTTTTTCATTCTTGTAAATCTTGTTATTGTCTTTTTGATTATAGGTATTTTAGTAGTTATAAAGTGATATCATTGTGTGTATATGGTTTTAAAAATATTTTTAAATTTATTTTTATTTAGACAGAGAGGCAGAGACACAGGCAGAGGGAGAAACAGGCTCCATGCAGGGAGCCTGATATGGTGGGTCTCGATCCCGGGAACCCAGGATCATGCCCTGAGCCAAAGGCAGATGCTCAACTGCTGAGCCACGCAGGCATCCATGTTTTTTTAAATTTTTATTTAATTATTAGTATTTTTAAAAAGATTTATTCATGAGAGAGAGAGAGAGGCAGAGACACAGGCAGAGGGAGAAGCAGGCTCCATGCAGGGAGCCTGATGGGGAACTTGATCCTGGACTCCAGGAGCACGCCCTGGGTCAAAGGCAGGCGCTAAACCACTGAGCTACCCGGGGATCCCCTATTTGTGATTTTTATAGGGATTGCATTGAGTCTATAAATCAATTTGGGGAGAATTGCTATCTTAACAATACTAAGTCTTCCAGGCAATGAACATGGATATCTTCTCATCAATTTAGGTTTTTCTTTTTTTCTTTTTTCTTTTTAAATTTTTTTTAATTTTTATTTATTTATGATAGTCACACAGAGAGAGAGAGAGGCAGAGACACAGGCAGAGGGAGAAGCAGGCTCCATGCACCGGGAGCCCGATGTGGGATTCGATCCTGGGTCTCCAGGATTGCGCCCTGGGCCAAAGGCAGGCGCTAAACCGCTGCGCCACCCAGGGATCCCCGGTTTTTCTTTTTTTATAGTTTTATAGTTTTTATGTATAAGTGTTACATTTATGTTAATTTTTTATTTTTTTAAGATTTTATTTATTTATTCGTGAGAGACAGAGAGAGGCAGAGATACAGGCAGAGGGAGAAGCAGGCTCCATTCAGGGAGCCAGATGTGGGACTCAATCCCCGGTCTCCAGGATCCCGCCCTGGACTAAACTGCTGAGCCATCGGGGCTGCCCTATGTTTGTTATTAAATTAATTCCTAAGTAGTTTATTCTTTTTGATATTGTTGATGAAACTATTTTCTCACTTTGATTTTTGATTTATTCATTAGTATATAGAAATACAATAGATTTTTTTTTTTTAAGATTTTACTTATTTATTCATGATAGACATAGAGGGAGAGAGAGGCAGAGATACAGGCAGAGGGGGGAGAAGCAGGCTTCATGCCAGGAGCCTGACGCGGGAATCGATCCCGGGACTCCAGGATCAGGCCCGGACCAAAGGCAGGTGCTAAACTGCTGAGCCGCCCAGGGATCCCCTCAATAGATTTTTAAAATAATTTTTTTAATGAGATTTGAGAGAGTATGAATGGGGGAGGGGCATAGGGCAAAACAGATACTCTGCTGAACAACACCCTGGGATTATGACCAGAGTGAGGCAGATACTTAGCCACCCAGGTGCCCCAGAAATACAATAGTGTTTTTTACATTGATATTGTATTCTGCAACCTTGCTGAACTTGTTCATTGTTTCTAGTTCTGTGTGTAAATTCTGTAGGATCTTTTTATGTACAAGATTATGTCATATGTGAAGAAGGACAGATTTACTGTGTCCTTTCCAAATGCCTTTTTTTTTTTTTTTTAAAGATTTTATTTATTTTTTCATGAAAGACAGAGACAGAGACACAGGCAGTGGGAGAAGCAGGCTCCATGCAGGGAGCCTGATGTGGGACCCGATCCTGGGACCCCAGGACCACACCCTGAGCCACCCAGGGATCTCCAAATGCCTTTGGAATGCCCTTCCTTCTTTTCCTCCTTTCCTCCTTGGACTATATGATATTGACTACAGATGGTGAGCGTGAACATCTTTCCCTTGTTCCTGATCTTAGGGGAAAGGCATTCAATCTTCCACCTTTATGTATGATCTTAGCTGCATAGATTTTGTAGATGCCCATTATCAGGTTGAAGTTTCTGTCTACGTCTTGTTGAGAGTTTCTAATCTTAAATGATATTGGATGTTGTCAAATGCTTTTTCTGCATTTATTGAGAAGATCATGTTGTTCTTGTTCTTTATTAATATTACATTAATTGATTTTCAGATGTTAAGCCAATCTGGCATTCTTAGAATAAATCCTACTTCGTTATGTTATGAGGTATGGAATTCAGATTGCTGGTATTTTGTATAGGAATTTTGTGTTTATATTCATGAGGTTTATGATTTGTATAGTTTTCTTGTGGTGCCCACTAGGGTATTTCTGGCCTAATGATTGGTAAAGTGTTCCCTTTTCCACTGTTTTCTGGAAGAGTTTGTGAAGGTTTGATATAATTTTCCCTTTAAATGTTTGGTAGAGTTCACGAGTAAAGCTATTTGGGCTAGAACTTTCCTTTGTGGGAAGCTCTTGTAGAAATTCAGGTTATCTGTTATCTTCTTGAATTAATTTTGGTGTTTTGTATCCTCTTAGGAGTTTGCCCATTTCATTATCTACATTGTCTAAAGTTTTCCAATATTTTCTTGGAATCCTTTGATTTCTATGAGGTTGGTAATGATAATTCCTCTCGACCTTCATTTCTGATTATAGGAATTTGTGTTTTATTTGTTCTTTTCAAAAAGCCAACTTTGGTTTCATTTATTTTTCTTTTGTGTTTTTCTATTTTTTATTTTATTTCTATGTCACCATTATTTCCTTTTTTTCTTATTTTGAGTTTAGTCTTAGACTGTTACCTTTTTTTTTTTTTAAAGATTTTATTTATACATTCATAGAGATTCAGAGAGAGAGAGAGGCAGAGACACAGGCAGAGGGAGAAGCAGGCTACATACATGCAAAGAGCCCGATGTGGGACTTGATCCCAGGACCCCAGGATCACACCCTGAACCGAAGGCATACACTCAACTGCTGAGCCACCTAGGTGTCCCTACTTTTCTGAGGGAGTTTGGAACTGTAACTATTGTGTTATATTAAGCACCAATTTTTTAAAATAAATTTATTTTTTATTGGTGTTCAATTTGCCAACATACAGAATAACACCCAGTGCTCATCCCGCCAACCAGTCACCCCCACCCTCCGCCCTCCTCCCCTTCCACCACCCCTAGTTCGTTTCCCAGAGTTAGGAGTTTAAGCACCAATTTTGGAACTTGGTCAAAGTGACATGAATTTGGGTCTGTGGGTTTCTTTTTTTTTTTAAACACTACAGAATTTCAGTGGCTTAAAGACAAAGATTTGTTTCTCTTTCATACCACGTGTTTATCACCTGTTGGCAAAGATGTTAGCTCCTTATAATCACTGAAAGGACCCAGACTCATAGAGTACCTGATATTTCAAAAGTTGTTGGTTTCAGTCCCAGCAGGAAAAAGAACTTGAAGATCTTGCCTGGCAGTTCAGATCCTCTTGCCTGGAGAGGAGACATCACTATCTCTCACAACTCATTTTCTAGAGCTAGTCACAGGGCTGTACCCAGACACAAGGGGTTCCAAGTTCTCTAAAAAGGGAGAGCTGGAAATACTGGATATAAACACCGAAGATTGCCGTACTACCCTAGATTGATTGGGTCACTATCAGTGGATTGATTGCCTGATTAGGTACTTAAAGGGTTTCCTCGCTTAACTTCTTGATGTCTCTCTACAGCAGTGATTTTTCTTTTTTTAAAAATTTTTTAAAAGATTTTATTTATTTATTCATGAGAGACATAGAGAGGCAGAGACACAGGCAGAGGGAGAAGTAGGCTCCATGCGGGGAGCCTGAGGTGGGACTCGATCCCAGGTCTCCAGGATCACACCCTGGACCGCAGGCAGTGCTAAACCGCTGCGCCACTGGGGCTGCCTAGCAGTGATTTTTCTAATCCACAGTCTGATGATGTGACTGTTTAAAGCTGATCGTCTTTTCTTTTCTTTTCTTTTCTTTTCTTTTCTTTTCTTTTCTTTTCTTTTCTTTTCTTTTCTTTTCCTTTCCTTTCCTTTCCTTTCCTTTCCTTTCCTTTCCTTTCCTTTCCTTTCCTTTCCCTCTTTTTTTTTTTTTAAAAAGATTTATTTATTCATGAGAGACACAGAGAGAGGCAGAGACACAGGCAGAGGAAGAGGAGCCTGATATGGGGACTCGATCCCAGGACCCTGGGATCACGCCCTGGGCCAAAGGCATATGCTCAACCACTGAGCCGCCCATGTATCCCTGATCATCATTACTTTTCACATGAAGTCCATCTTTTCCTGCTGTCTGCATGCCCTGCATGATCTAGTCTCCAGTTCCTTTTATATCCATATCTCACTTTTTTCTTATACTCTGTCCTGCGACACTGGCCTGGAGATCCTTTAACATGCTTTACTCCCTTTGGCCTCTTGACCTTTGTCCACATTATGTCCTCTTGATGGAATATTGTTTCTTAGCTTCTCTTTCCTTTGGCTAACTTCTAATCCTCTTTTAGGTTGGAGCTTAAAAGTCCTATTATTTCTACTTTCCTATTTGAATTCAGAGCTTAGCCTTTGATTCCCATAGCACTCATTATTTCTGACAAAGCTATTGTGTGTCATTGTAATTACATGATTACTTGTTTGCCATTGTAACCTAATCTCTCATACATAGAAGGACTTGATACATGTTTGTTGAGTGGTTAAATTACAGCCTACATAGGGAAAAGTAGTGTCCATTATCAAGAAATTTAGTAATTAAAGGATCTGTATGCTTCTCATCTATGGCAAGGACTCCAAAGTTTGCCATTTATGAAAATGTGTTATTTTTTTTTTTAAGATTTTATTTATTCATGAGAGACACAGACACAGGCAGGGGGAGAAGTAGGAGGGAAGCCTAATGGAGGACTCGATCCCGGGACCCTGGGATCATGACCCGAGCCAAAGGCAGATGCTCAACCACGTAGCCACCCAGGCGTCCCTGAAAATGTGGTTTTAACAGTGCTTGGAATATCTCCTGTTACCAAAAATATTTTGTATACCACATTTCACAAGTACTTTGAAAATTGGTTACATTATCGTTTTTTTCTTTTTAAGATTTTATTTATTCATGAGAGAGAGAGAAAGAGAGAGGGGGCAGAGTCACAGGGAGAAGCAGGTTACATGCAGAAGCCTGATGTGGGACTGGATCCTGAGAGAGAGAGAGAGAGAGAGAGAGGCAGAGACACAGGGAGAAGCAGGTTACATGCGGGAGCCTGACGTGGGACTGGATCCTGGGACTCTAGGATCACGCCCTAGGCCGAAGGCAGGCATTAAACTACTGAGCCACCCAGGGATCCCCTGACAAGGTTCTCTAAGTTTAAAATGATGGGTATGTATTTTTAAGATTTATTTATCTGAGAGAGAAAGAGAGGGAGAGCTGGGGGAAGGGTAGAAGAGAGAATATTTCAGGCAGACTCCCTGCTGAGCCCCACTTGGGGTTCCACCTCACAACCTGTGAAATCAAGTCCTGAGACCCAAGAGATCAAAGCCTGGGCTGAAACCAGAGTCAGACAGCCAACTGACCAAGCCACTCATGTGCCCCTAGATATGTATTTTTTTTTTAAGATTTTATTTATTTATTCATGAGAGACAGAGACAGAGAGAGAGAGAGATAGGCAGAGACACAGGCAGAAGGAGAAGCAGGCTCCATGCCGGGAGCTGACATGGGATTCGATCCCAGGACTCCAGGATCACGCCCTGGGCCAAAGGCAGGTCTAAACCGCTGAGCCACCCAGGGATCCCCATAGATATGTGTTTTTCACTTCATATATCAGATATTTTTTATTGTGCCTTAATTTTCAGTAGCTTCTTAATAATCTATGTTGTTATATTTAAAGGCTGTTATTTCCATTTTTGGTTGTTATTTTTGAGTAATGCTTTTAGATATCTCTTTGTATCTTGAGCCTTTTTCTTTTGAACTAGTTTCTCAGGGTGAATTCCCAGGAATGATATTTCTGGTTAAGGGCAGTTGTAGTGGTTAAGAGCATGTTTAGTTTTGTTCATGGATGGTAGCAAAATAGTATTAGGATTATAAAATATATCTGCACAGCCCTTGTTATTCTAAGAAATAAAACTGCAGTGTTTAACATGTTTTGTGGTCCTGTTTTTCACATTTTTGTTATTGTTGTTATCTTTTCTGCATTGGGTACCTTAGCCCTTGAGAATATGAATATGAGCAGCAAAATGAAAGAATAGGCTCAGGAAATATAATTTAGGGGGTATACTAGTTAAGTTTTTTTTTTTTTTAAGATTTTATTTATTCATGATGGGGGGCGGGGGCAGAGAGGCAGAGACACAGGCAGAGGGAGAAGCAGGCTCTATGCCAGGAGCCCAGTGTGGGACTTGATCCTGGCACTACAGGATCATGCCCTGGGCCAAAGGCAGGCACCAAACCACTGAGCCACCCAGGGATCCCATAGTTAAGTTTTATTTTGAAAATAGCCTTGCTGGGGATCCCTGGGTGGCTCAGCGGTTTAGTGCCTACCTTTGGCCCAGGGTGTGATCCTGAAGTCCCAGGATCAAGTCCCACGTCAGGCTTCCTGCATGGGGCCTGCTTCTCCCTCTGCCTGTGTCTCTGCCTCTCTCTCTCTCTCTCTGTGTGTCTCTCATGAATAAATAAATAAAATCTTAAAAAAAAAAAAAAAGAAAATAACCTTGCCCTTCTTATACCATGTGTTTCCTATTAAACAGTAAGTCAGTTTTATGAGATTTATATGCAAGTATACTTACTACCTTTCTATTTTGAGACTTTTCCCCCCACGCTAATCCCCACATAAAACTAAATCTTCAAAAAAATGTATAAGTTGTCCTATAAACTAGAAAATAACTGCTTTTTAATAAGTAGGGATTTTACGTATAAGGGGAATTATTTTATTTTGGATTTAGGTAGTACTTTTAAATAGCATTTTTATTACCAAAATACATGGAGGGTAATTTATTTTTTAGTCCACATGGTTTGTTTAGGTCAGAGTTATTTGATCTTATGTTTTCTGGCTTACCTTTTGTTGTTTACTATTGAAATCTAGGGATCTTTTATTTAGTTTTTGAATTGTCATTTTAAGTAAATTGGTAACTTATTCACATTTGTAAAGTTTTACTGTACATTTAATGAAAGGGATACACACACAGAAAGTGCATATTGGACTTGTTTTTCCCTTCGTTTAGAAATCTTTTAATCATTCAGAGTCAATTTTCATAACAACAGTTTGTCTCAGAAAATTTTCCTTTTTTTCTCAGTAGTTGAAAGCTGTTTCCAGAGATTTGTTCATCCTAGGTAGAGTGCTAGACCACTTCAATTTCACGTTTTCTGATGTTATCCATCATACTTCTAAGAGGGTTAGGTTCACTTTTCAAGTCTTTCACAGTTTTGTTTTTTACACAGCAGCAACAGTCAAGCACTTCATAAAGGAAAGCCAGCACCACTAAAGATACCACTGTAAATATAAATAAAAGCAGAATGACAAAGCAGGCAGTGTTCCAGTTATCATGAAAAGGGTAAATTTTTTGAACTTGAAAACCAAGGTACTGATAAACAGATGTAGTGGTTTCATTCCAGAGGCTGGAGCTTAGGGAGGCCATTCTTAGGGATTCTACTTCTTTTATTTCTCTTTTGAATCTGTACAAAGGTAGAAAATGAATAAATGTAACCAAAGTCTAAAGATTTGTCAATTCAAGTCTCAGTACAAAGGTTTGTTATTAAATTTTTATAGGTAATGTGAGTTGTTTTCTGCCAGAATTAATGCCCAAATGGTATTTTGAATTTTTTTTCTGTATCTTATGGCACTGTACCCTATAAACTGTACTATGTATTTTTATGTGTATCATTTGCTAGACAAATATGTAAGTTTAAGATTTCTGAACAGAAATTAACGCTAATAGAAGCAGAAAAAGAAGCTGAATTGGTTTACAAAAAATCTTAGTGTTTTAAGGTGGTGTTCTTTACACTATTCCCCCCACCCCCGGCCCCAAGGCTTTTCTCATTACCTTTGTGGATCCTTCTTACCTTGTTGGCTCAGTGTATTTTTATTTCCAGTCCTTAAAACTTCGAGGACAGGTGACCTAAATCAGGAAATAGTGGCTAAGTGAAACACCTTAGAGAAAGAAAAGCTAAATAATGACAATTTTCAGAGTAAGTTCAAGTTGCCTATGAAGAGACCTTAATCTTAGGATTTTTTTGTTATGTATATGATAGTATTAACTGTTTTATATAGATGAATGGGCTATGGAGATGTTTTAAAGATTTATTTATTCATCAGAGAGACAGAGAGGCAGAGACATACGCAGAGGGAGAAGGAGAAGCAGGCTCCTCATAGGGAGCCTGATGCAGGACTCGGTCCCAGATTCTGGGATCACACCCTGACCCGAAGGCAGACGCTCAACCACTGAGCCACCCAGGCATCCCGGAGACGAATTTTTTTAAAATAATTAATTAATTTATTTATTCATGAGAGACAGAGAGAGGCAGAGACACAGGCAGAGGGAGAAGTAGGTTCCACGCAGGGAGCCCGATGTGGGACTCAATCCCGGGTCTCCAGGATCACACCCCGGGCTGCAGGCGGCGCTAAACTGCTGCGCCACCGGGGCTGCCCCCGGAAATGAGTATTTTAAATCAGTATATTTATCTCCGGTATATTGACTATTAAATTATCATTCCATTTTACAAAATTAACCAGTGAGTTAAAATTTTAGTATTCTTTTTTTTTTTTTTAAGGATTTTATTTATTTATTCATGAGAGAGAGAGGCAGAGACACAGGCAGAGGGAGAAGCAGGCTCCATGCAGGGAGCCCAACGTGGGACTTGATCCCAGATCTCCAGAATCACACCCTGGGCTGCAGGCGGTGCTAAACTGCTGTGCCACCAGGGTTGCCCAAGTTTTAGTATTCTTGCATTAAGATTTACTCTTTTGACCTGATACTTGTTAGCCTTTAAATGAGATTGAAGATTTTATTATCTTGATCTTTCAAAAATATCCTTTAAAGAATAAGAAATTATAAGATGCTTTTATACTAAGAAATTTTTGGAAATAAGAGGAAGAAGTTCCACTTCCTTAATTCAATGACTGTTGTCAGTTTGCTTTATTAGATTTTCATTCATTTTTATAAATGTGTATCAAATAGTTTTCTAAATGCTGGCGATATTTATGTGTATATGTTTCAATTAAAGGAAACTTAAAGGTAGTTTAAGAGTATGAGTATAATGAGCCACCTGGGTGGCTCAGTCAGTTGGCCATCCCAATCTTGGTTTTGGGTGGGGAGACTGAGCCCCATGTGGAGATTATGTTGAGCAAGGAGTGTGTTTGAGATTCTCTCCCTCTCAGTCTCCCTTTGCCCCTCCCCCTGCTTGCACATGCATAGTCTCCCTCTCTCTAGAATAAATCTTAAAAAAAAAAAAGTGGGGTGTTTGGGTGGTCTATCAGTTAAGCATCTGACTCTTGATTGTGGCTCAGATATTGATTTCACGATTGTGAGATTGAGAGCCCTGCATATTGGGCTTTGTGCTCAGTACGCAGAGTCTGCTTGGGATTTTTTCTCCCTCTGTTCCTCCTATTTGTGCTTTCTCTCTCTTCCCACAAAGTAAGTAAATAAATCTTTATAGTGTATGTTAATGAAATTGAATTTAAATTAAAATATTTAAAAATAAAAAAATGGGGGATCCCTGGGTGGCTCAATGGTTTAGCGCCGCCTTTAGCCCAGGGCGTGATCCTGGAGACCCGGGATCGAGTCCCACATCAGGCTCCCTGCATGGAGCCTGCTTCTCCCTCTGCCTGTGTCTCTGCCTCTCTCTCTCTCTCTGTCTCTCTGTCTCTCATGAATAAATAAATAAAATCAAAAAAAAAAATGAAGAGCTGAGAAGGCCTGAGTAGAAGCCAAATCAAAACAGAAATAAATAAATCAACCTTTAAAAGATAAGAGTATGATGAACCCTTCCCTATATGGTCAAAACATAGCTTCACTTATTAATTCATCTATACATCCACCCATTTGCTTCCACCTGTAGATTATTTTGAAGCAAATCCTAGACATCATCACTTCATCTAGACATAACTCAGTGTATATCTCTTAAAAGGTAGAATTCTGTTTTTAAATATAACCACAGTATCATTTTCACACCACAAATGAAAAAGTGACTTAAAACCAAAGCCATAACAGTATAATTCCTTCAATTTGTCTTCTTTATAAATGTAATTTTAAAACTTTGATGTCGGTAAGTTAATATTTTCTAAGGTTTTTGTTTTCTGTGTTATTTTTTAAGTATAAACTCTGCCCAACAATGGGGCCTGAAACTCAAAATCCTAAGACCAAGAGCCACATGCTCTACTGGTTGAGCCACCCAGGCGCCCCAAAGGTTTTTGTTTTCTATCTTAAATCACATTTGCTTGGCAAGTAACTTCACCTCTCCGGATGGACTTGGTTTCTTCTTTGTATTTTGAGGGTTAAATTAATGATCTGAGGCCAGAAGTAAGGCTTAAATTCATTTTTTCTTTTTGAATTTAAGAATCCTTCAGTTTCATGGTTTGTGGTGATCCTTCATCTTGAAATGAGGGACAACAGACTAATGGACAGTAATTGAATCAATTGCTTTTATTAGTTCTGGGACATATAAAAATATATTGTCCGGAACACTGGTATGTGAGGAACTTCCCAGTATATTACAGTGTTTTCAAACTGTTTGGAGATCTAGCCTTTTAGAGTTACCCTTTTCTTTCCTAAACATTTTCTGTTCCTAGTGCATTTTTATAGAAAGAAGGGCTGCTATGTTGCATCCTTCGAGGGAGCACCATTCATGCTGTATTGTAAGGTGCCATTCACGTAGAATACACTGTAAGTGGTGCCCCTTCAAGTCTAATGTGGATGTCCTGATAGTCCACTTGTCCAGCTTCTGCAGTGTTTCTGCCTCTGATTCTAATCACCACACACCCAACTCAAATGGAGAGAATGTTAGTTCCTTTTGTTTTTTTTTTTTTTCTATTTTTTATTTATTTATTTATTTATTTATGATAGTCACAGAGAGAGAGAGAGAGAGAGGCAGAGACACAGGCAGAGGGAGAAGCAGGCTCCATGCACCGGGAGCCCGATGTGGGATTCGATCCCGGGTCTCCAGGATCGCGCCCTGGGCCAAAGGCAGGCGCCAAACCGCTGCGCCACCCAGGGATCCCATGTTAGTTCCTTTTGACCAGCCTTCATCATAGGGTAGTGATGGGTGTGTACACACATGCAAATGCCTAAAAAATATTCAGGTTTGGAACTCCTTTAAAATTTTTTAGTACAACAAAAATACGCTACTCCTGGAAGGGGTAGCACACATTGTTAGTTATTTTTACTTCAGTGTGAATGAGTTTCAGGTCCTTTTTGAGAGACCAAGCACATAGAGGAGGAGAGGAAGAAGAGGATCTTGAGGAATGTGAGAACAGTGCCATTTATTATATTGGTAGGTAGAAAGCATGGGAAGAATCACTGGAGGGCGTACCTTATAATTTTACCTGGACTAACCTAGGACCTCTCCAGCATTGATGCTTAATATTCGTTAGACTTTCTGTTAAGGCTTTTCAGGTTGATTCTTTCGTTGTTTTGTTTTATAGTAATCTCTCCACCCAGTGTGGAGCTTGAACTCACAAGCGTGAAATCAAGAGTCACATGCTCTACTGACTGAGCCAGCCACGCAGGTGCCCTAGGTTGATTCCTTTTTAAAATCTGGGGATTTCTTTCCACATTATGTCCTTTAATTTAATGTAGGGGCACCTGGATGGCTAAGTGGGTTTAGTGTCTTGACTCTTGGTTTTGGGTCAGGTCATGCATGATACCTGATTCTTAGGTTGTGAGATTTTGCCTCTAGTGGGGCTGTGTGCTCAGTGGGGAGTCTGCTTGGGATTCTCACTACCTACCCCGTCATGTGTGCACATGTGTGCTCTCTCTCAAATCTTAAAAATTAGTTTAATGTGCCTTATTAATTAACTTAATGTTAACTTAAAATGTCATTTCATTATTGATTTCAGAAACTTGTAATTTTATTTCCTTTACATTATGATTTTTTTTTTTTATTTATTTATGATAGGCACACAGAGAAAGAGAGGCAGAGACACAGGCAGAGGGAGAAGCAGGCTCCATATACCGGGAGCCTGACGTGGGATTCGATCCCGGGTCTCCAGGATCGCGCCCTGGGCCAAAGGCAGGCGTTAAACCGCTGCGCCACCCAGGGATCCCTACATTATGATTTTAAATAAAAATTAAAAGCTTCATTAATACTGTCTCCCTAACATATCAAACTTTTCTTTTCTCAGTTTCGATTTCAAAATAAAAGTTTAAAATTACCAGAAAGTTGGTTTAAGAAACTTTGTTCTATTTATTTTTGAGGTGCAAGTGAATTAGTTAAAATTTTAACTTTATATTCTATTTATTTTTTTAAAAAGATGTATTTGAGAGTGTGCACAAGTGTGAGCATTGGGTGGGGGAGGGACAGAAGAAGAGAGAATCCCAAGGAGACTCCCCACTGACCATGGAGCCCTCTCTCCGGTCGATCCCATGACCCTGAGATCACCCAAGCTAAAACAAGGAGTCAGTGTTTAACCAACTGAGCTACCTACGTGCCCCAGTATTCTATTTATTTTTGGGAAACAAGTGAACTGTTTAAAAATTTTTCAAGCCCTCTCATGCCTCACTCCCCCCCAGAAAAAATGGAGGGAGGGAAGGGAGAAGGTGGACAGACACAAACAAAATTCAGTTATTTGAAGTTAACTTGTACCTGTCAATGAACTATTCTGGTTAAAATTAGTATAGTGTATCCATACAATTGATTATTACTGAGAGATAACTGTGTAATGATACTGAAAGATTTCTAGGAGGGTAGCCTGGGTGGCTCAGTGGTTTAGTGCTGCCTTCGGCCCAGGGTGTGATCCTGGAGACCTGGGATCAAGTCCTACGTCAGGCTGAGACTTTTTTTGGCTCCCATACTTTGTACAGCAAGCAGGAATATTTTCTAGGTAATCAGCCTCATTGTTCTGAACCTGGAGAGCTCTAATATCTTCTTACAGCCAAACCGCTAAGCCACCTGGGCTGCCCCTTATATATATATTTTGAAGTTTATTTTTGATATATTCTCTTCACCTATTTTTCCTCCCATTTCAGAAGGCCCTAGTGAAATATTTATGGAGACAGAACTTAAAACTGTTTTGGGGGGGCAGCCTGGGTGGCTGAGCGGTTTAGCGCCACCTTCAGCCCAGGCATGATCCTGGAGATTCGGGATGGAGTCCCATGTCAGGCTCCCTGTGTGGAGCCTGCTTCTCCCTCTGCCTGTGTCTCTGCCTCTCTCTCTCTCTCTCTCTCTCTCTCTCTCTCTCTCTCTGTCTGTCTCTGTCTCATGAATAAATAAAACCTTAAAAAAAAAAACTTCTGGAACCTTGAATTGTCAGATCAGAATAAAATTATGCTCTTGCTCTAATTATGGTAAAAGCCCTTGAGTTGAATTCTCTAGTGCTTTTTTAAACACACCACTTTGAAATGTGATCAATTAATGATATTGGCCTTTAAATATAGAGCAGCTCACCCAGCCCTGGAACTCTCTGAGATGCACCAAGCATTTAGTCAGTTTGGTGAAAAAGCAATGAACCTACTACATCTGTGCCAGCTCTACATATATCAGTAAGATGTAGCCTGATTATAGTGCTAATAATGGGGGTGGTAGAGGTTTTTCTGTTTAGAGTTTACCTGAAATTTCAGTTCTAAGTTAACAGTTTTATTTGACAAGGTTGTTTTTATCTGAGACTTTTTTTTGGCTCCCATACTTTGTACAGCAAGCAGGAATATTTTCTAGGTAATTAGCCTCATTGTTCTGAACCTGGAGAGCTCTAATATCTTCTTACAGCAACCTTTGGGCTTTGTAAGGTATGCTTTGGTCATGCTGACTTAATGCTGAATAAGAAATAGAAGGAATAAAAGTTTTGAAAATAATCTTTTAAAATTTAAATAGATTTATCAGCAAAGAAAAGGTCTGAAGTTGGATCTTTAGGTTGATATGTCTGAGTAATACCCTGGAATTCTAGGATCTTCTACATAATGATATTTTTATGCTCAACTCTTTATAAAATTAGAAATTTGGCCAGTAGTTGTACAATTTTTAGTGGACATGAATAGTTACTCTGAGCCATGAAAGTGATCTTATTACCTACCTTGAAAGGTACCATACCTTCTTCCCTAACCAGTTCTTCTTAAAACCTACTTTTATTTTAAAATGCAATTTATCAAAAAGACTTAATCGGTGTTTATTTTGAGGAATCAGTTGGAGAATAATTTTAACATTATATTGAAATATGGTTAGGGGATCCCTGGGTGGCTCAGCAGTTTAGTGCCTGCCTTCAGCCCAGGGTGTGATCCTGGAGTCCCGGGATCCAGTCCCGCATCGGGCTCCCTGCATGGAGCCTGCTTCTCCCTCTGCCTGTGTCTCTGCCTCTCTCTCTGTCTCTCATGAATAAATAAATAAAATCTTTAAATAAAATATGGTTATAGGTATTTCTGTGGCATTTAAAAAATAAAAGGCTATTTAAGAAGGTTATTTAATAATAGGATGACTTGTATATTACAGAAATACAGGTTTTAATATTTATAAGAAATTATTTTAGGTAAAATGTTAGGAAAGTCTGAAGCTCTACAAATGATCTCTGGTTATAGGATAATGCAGCCTATATAACGGTACCTTTATGGTCTTTTTATAAATCACAGTCATTAAAATTTCTCGGCATTCTTTGCATCTACACTCAAAGTCAAATAAACCGTTTTGAACTATTTTCTGTATTTGTTAAAAAATATAACAAACTTTCCTCTAAGTAACTGCTTTTTACCAGCCAATACAATTTGCACATATAATCAGAAAGCTTTAGTCCAGGATTCGTTTTTAGTCTAGATTTTTCTTTAAGAAAAATCCTTTGTTAAGGCAGACCAATTTGCTGAAATGAAATAGCTCAGAGAAAATAAATTAGCAAGTAACCACTTAACATTAAATGCTTATGGCTTACTCTGAGGTCTGGATATAGATCAGGTTCATAGAAAATCTCATGAATTTTCCATAAGGCACAGATGGTAAGGGTGCTTATCAAATAGCACAGGCAGTCTTCACATTTTCATAATAAAATCCTACCAAGCAGTGAAATGAATACATTGCTTTTTTTGATCTTTACAGGAACAAAGCTTTCTGCTTGGTTTTTATGGTAAAATATTTTTATATTACATCATAAAGACATGTATTACTAAATGAAAAAGATTGTATAAACCTACCTCTTGTCTGAAGGCTGCTGTTGAAGCGATGGTATCGTCTGTTTGTAATGCAGTCCAGTGCACATCCAAGATGGAGCTGTGCTTCTATTGGTTGAACCACAATGCAGCTGACAATTTCCTCTTCGTTCATTTGCATTAAGTCCTGCCACCCTTAAATGTAAATCATTCATAAACTTGAATAGAGCTGTCTGGGATATCAACTGTCACCTCTTTTTCTTGCCTTATTTTTTGTCCTCAAGCTAAATTTCTGTAAAGGAATTTGAATTAGTAACAAACTGATGATTCCTTAGTGTTTAATGGTAAGATTTTGGATCCTTCGGTGAATATTTCACTGCTCAGGCTAAAAGGTAATGTCGAGAGAGGTAGTAACCTAGGAAACAAACAGTCCAGGTTTACCAGCTTGATACTTTCTTTAGGAAGTGGGCATAAAATCTCATAAATGATATTTTCTTTCCATACTTGTGTTGTATAAATCTTGCCCTCTGGAAGTGATTATTTCTATGTGGTGGTTTTATTTAAGAGAAATTCTAAGGGAAAAGAAGGTTTTCAGTTCTAGTAGGGAGAGGGTTAGTTTTGGTAGATATACTATTGACATTAAAAAGCAGTGTGTGAAATTTAAATGGTAAAAAAGAGAATAAAAGATATAGCATAGGGAATATAGTTAATAATGTTATAATCAGGGACGCCTGGGTGGCTCAGTGGTTGAGTGTCTGCCTTTGGCTCAGGTCATGATCCCAGGGTCCTGAGATGGAGCCAGGGCTCCAAATGGGAGCCTGCTCCTTCCTCTGCCTATGTCTCTCCCTCTCTCTGTGTCTCTTGTGAATAAATAAATAAAATCTTAAAAAAAAATGTTATAATCATGTATGATGACAGCAGCTACGTTTGTGGTGAACATAGCATAGTCTATAGAGAAGTTGAATTCTGTGTTGTATACCGGAAACTAACATAAAAAATTTTTTTATAAAGATTTATTTGAGAGAGAGAGAGAGAGAGAGAGACAGGGGATGAGTGGGAGGGATGAAGGGAGAGGGAGAGATGATGTCAGGCAGAGCCCACACGGAGCCCGAGGGCTCCCCGACCCTGAGATCATTGATTGACCTAAGCTGAAACTAAGAATTGGCACTCAACTGACTCTGCCACTTAGGCACCCCTCAAAAAATTTTTTAAAAATATTTTTTAAAATGACAGAAGAATCCTCAATGAATGTTTGAAAATAGAATATTTTATTCTGTCTTCTATTATTTAGAGTTGTTTGTGGTCCAAGATAACAAAATCGAGGTTTTAAATTATAAAGTGGCTATTAGAGCAACAGTAGACTGAATAAATGCTTGCTGTGCAGACTTTATTTTATAGTTTTTTTTTTTTTTAAGACTGAGAGAGTGCAAGCAGGGGAGGAGCAGAGGGGTAGGGAGGGGGAAAGAATCTCAAGCTAACTCCATGCTGAACCAGGAGCCCAGTGTGGGACTCGATCCCAGGACCCCAAGATCATGACCTTAGCCAAAATCAAGAGTCCCACACTTAACCGACTGAGCCACCCAGTGCTACCACATTATTTTTAAAAAATTACAAATTAGCATATTGTTTCTAGGCCCATAAAGGGGTACATAGGAATATTCTTACTACCTTCATTTATTCATTCAGCTAGTACTTACTGAGTATTCACTCGGCCTGTCATTGAGATAAATGTTCAAGACTCCATGATACCTAAAACTGCATGTAGTTCATGATTGAGCATTTGTATAGTGCCTATCCTTAACATAGTGTCATCTGCTTTTCTTAGTTTTTCCAGTTGGTTGTTTATATAGGAGTATAGGATAAACAATATTTTACTAAATTAAACAAGAAAACATTAAATCTGTGTTTATGAATTTTTATACTCTGACAAAATAGTAGCCAGTTTCAGATGAAATAATCTGTATTATATTAAAGACTAATGATTCTTATACAGGCAGTAACACACTGTTTACAAACGAATTTGAAACTGTATTCCTCTACTTAGTGCTCTCACTTTCTTTTTAGTATATGTGTTGCCGAAACGAGCACTGCTCTCACTTTTCTTAGGTTTAAAAGGGGACAACGATACTTCCTAAGTAGGATTTTTTTGGAGGGATTAAATGAGAAAATCAGATATTTAGCATGACACTTAGCAAATAATAACTGTTCAGTAAGTGTTATTTTTTAAAAAGATTTTATTTATTCATTAGAGACACAAAAGGAGAGGCAGAGACATAGGGAGAGGGAGAAGCAAGGCTCCACCCAATGCAGGACTGCATCTCAGGACCCCAGGATCACAACCTGAGCAGAGGCAGAGGCTCAGCTACTGAGCCAGCCACCCAGGCCTCCCAATGTTACTTTTATTTACTTACTTTTAAAATTTTTATTTTTTAAAGATTTATTTATTTGTTCATGAGAGACGCACAGACAGGCAGAGGGGAAGCAGGCTTCCTGCAAGGAGCCGGATGGTGGGACTCGATCCTAAACTCTGGGATCACACCCTGTGCCAAAGGCAGACACTCAATCACTGAGCCACCTAGGAGTCTCTTTTAGTTACTTTTATTGTTGAAATGTCCTGAACACCTTGGGAAAATGAACCATGTAGGTAGTATTTCATAATTGAAATAATGAATATGAAAGTATACTTGTAAGGCATCCATAATATTATTTTTGGAAACATAGTAAGCTATAATGTGCCAGTTCAGGTGTCAAAATTGTAACAGTGCTTTTTGAAGGAAAATTGCATATCAAATCTCATTTTAGTCTCAAGAGAAAGCATATAGTAAAGCCTTTTCACAAACTAATCTCTAAGAAGTATTATGTTGCCATCTAAAAGCTATTCTTTTGGATCTCTGACAATTGTTACATTTGACTGCATTGTTCTAATGCATTCTTTTGTTATTACCAAGCTGGTGCCAGAGATTACTCTCCCTCACCCCCACCTTTTATTTAACCTCTTCCTTTGTGAATCAGCAGCTGTATGGGAACTTTATAATAATCTGAGTTGATGATTTGCTAATAGGATGTATACTTCTGAAATATTTTTTCTTTTTTTTAAGATTTTAAGTATTTATTTTTATTTATTTATTTATTTTTAAAGATTTTATTTATTTATTTATTCATGATAGACAGAGACAGAGACATAGGCAGAGGGAGAAGCAGGCACTAACAGGGAGCCTAATGCGGGACTTGATCCCAGAACCCCTAGATCATGACCTGAGGCCAAAGCAGACACTCAACCAGTGAGTCACCCAGGAGTCCCTGTTTCAGTACTTTTTTTTTTTTTTAAGTTTTTTTTTTTTAATTTGTTTATTCATAGAGACATACAGAGAGAGAGAAAGAGGCAGAGACACAGGCAGAGGGAGAAGCGGGCTCCATGCAGGGAGCCCAATGTGGGACTCGATCCTGGGTCTCCAGGATCACGCCTGGGGCCGCAGGCGGCACTAAACCGCTGTGCCACTGGGGCTGCCCTGTTTCAGTACTTTTGAATTATTTAGACTTTATTCCTATCCATGGTGGAGAAAATTGTTGTTTATTATATACTTAAAGATTTGAATTTTCACCAAAGTTTTACAGGGTAGTATTCAGTAGATGTAAAACTCAAAACAAGAAATACTTTACTAAAGTTAAAAATTATTTTAGCTGCTTAAAAGTCATAATCAAATCTAATATGACAATGTTATAATTGTTTTTTGGACCTCATTTCCAGATCATAGCAATGGATCATTTAACTTGAAAGCTCTATCAGGAGGCTCTGGATATAAGTTTGGCGTTCTTGCTAAGATTGTGAATTACATGAAGGTAAGTATTTTTCTTAAATAACACACATCCTATTTAACTTTTTGGCAGAGGAAGAGGATTGGGGTTTCAGGAGTAAGTTTGTATATACATGTCAAAATATGTCAAATTGTGTGTTTCAGTATGTGCAGTCTGTTGTATCCCTATTACATCTCAGTAAAACCAAAAAATACTTAGTATTTCAAGCCTTTTATGTTATATCATATTAGCACTACAATGAGTCACCTAAGTATGTTTAATTTATGTTAATTCAAGTATACAATTTTAGTCCACCATTTCACTTATAAATTATCCCAGGCAGTAGGTACAGTCACTTCTTAATTACTCAGTACTTGTTGGGAAAACCAATGGGAAGAGGTGAATGATTTGCAGGCTGTTATTCTTACTATATAGTTGAGGCATATGGTGGTGATGGCTTTTCTGGATCTTTGGAGGAGAAAACTGGAAAATTACTGACGGTCTTAGGAAAACATTGACTCACAAATGACTTAGAATTTAAGATTTGATAGAAGATTTACTATTTTTTTGAAGTAAGATTTGAAATTTTGATGATATGGCATTTTGGCTTTACCAAAGACTTTGAATAATCCTAACCTATTAAAACCCATTAGTTCATTAGTTCATTTATAGGTAAATGGCTAAATAATTTCATATTTGTTCCCTTCTTCTGCCAAACTCATTCCTGTTTTGTTACTAGTTGCATGTTTTGAAAAAAGTCAAAATGCTGTATATGTTATTTCAAATTTCAGCTATATATTGCTTAAAATGTAAATTAAGTTTTTATGTTAGGGCTTATTTATTTATTTATTTATTTATTTATTTATTTTTAAAAAAGATTTTATTTATTCATCAGAGACACACACAGAGAGGCAGAGACACAGGCAGAGGGAGAAGCACGCTCCACGCAGGGAGCCCGATGTGGGACTCGAATCTGGGTCTCCAGGATCAGGCCTTGGGGGCACTAAACCGGTGAGCCACCTGGGCTGCCCCTGTTAGGGCTTTTTTAATTTAAGAGACTTAATGTCTGGCTATGTCTGAAATCTTGTAGTTTGATTTGTAGAAGAAATCTGTTAGTTTATAATTTCCCATTATCAAATAATACACTTTGACACATATTCCCAGTTCATTCATTCCATCCACCCATTCCCCCATATTGTAAACAATTATTAAAACCTACTGTATGCTATTTATTATAGCACTATTGGTGGGACTACTCCGAAAAGTGTTTGCCCTCATGGCTGTTAGTCTGTTGAGGGAGATTGACATTCAAATGTCATGTTTTTGCTATGCTACTAGTACAGTCTTCACTTACTCTAGATGATCCTTAACTTCCTTTAGGACTGGGGGCACCTTGGTGGCTCAGTAGTTGAGCATGTGCCTTCAGCTGAGTGTGATCCTGGGGGTCCTGGGGTTGAGTCTTGCATCAGGCTCCCCTTAGGGAGCCTGCTTCTCCCTCTGCCTGTGTCTGTCTCTCATGAATAAATAAATAAAATCTTTAAGAAAAAAACAACCCCCCCCCCAAAAAAAAACCCCAAAATATCTTTCTTTAGGACTGTAATCTTTAAATTTGTGCTCAATTATTTCCTAGAACAATTTTGAGAAATTGTGTATCCTTTTGCACATGTTTAAATGACAATTACAGGTTTTTTTTGACAATTACAGTTTTTTAGCAAAAGTTGAAATAGTGACAAAGAATGGAATTTCTGACATTGTAATATTTCAACCAAATACCTCACTGTTTTTCATTTATCTGAGGGGATCTAATAAATGCCATTATTAATTAAAAATATAAAAAATTGCTCCTGGGTGGCATAATCTGTTGGGCGACCGACTCTTGGTTTTGGCTCAGGTTGTGATCTCAGGGTCATGAGATTGAGCCCAGTGTTGGGCTCTATGCTCAGTGTGGAGTTGGCTTAAGGCCAACTCTCCTCCTCCCCACCCCGACATGTGTACATGCTGTCTCTCTAGAATAAATAAATCTTAAAAATTTATATATAAATACAAACATATGTTTGGAAATTTTAATTATTTTCCTTTTGAACTTGTATGTCTGTTCTGTTACTCCTATGGCATTTTAGCCTAATGTTACATATTTTTATGCTTGAAACTATTTTAGTCCTCATCTGTCAAACTTCTTTGCCACAATAATATATATAAGTTGGAAATAGAAGTGTTTTTCTTGTGACCATAAGCTTCTAAGTACTATCACAATTATTATCAGCATACAGCTGATTAGAACAACTCACATTAAAATTTTGATAAAATTCACTTTGTATATAATAATTACTCCACAGAGGTCCATTTTTATTCATTTTTTTAAAAAGATTTATTTATTTAGAGAGAGTGCATAAGCAGTGGGGAGGGGCAGAGGGAGAGAATCTTCAAGCAGACTCCCTACTAAATGCAGACCCCCCCCCCCCCCGGCCTGAACCACCGCCACACAGTGCTGATCCCACTGCCCATGAGATTATAACCTGAGCTGAAACTGAGAGCCAGATGCTTAACTGACTGAGCCACCCAGGCACCCCAACAGATGTTCTTTTTTTTTTTTTTTTTTTAAGATTTTATTTAATTATTCATGAGAGAGAGAGAGAGAGAGGCAGAGGGAGAAACAGGCTCCATGCAGGGAGCCCGACATGGGACTCGATCCCAGGACTCCAGGGTCAGGCCTAGGCCAAAAGCAGGTGCTAAACTGCTGAGCCACCTGGGAATCCCCAGATGTTCATTTTTTAATGAAGTGAATGCAATTGTCCCACCTCTTCCTTATTGGCATTTTTAAGTTTTATAGGTAGATTTATTAAGAAATGAATGTGCATGTAAGTTCATTCTACTGGAATTTTTGTGGTAGTAAGAAAATTAAAGATTTTTCATCAGGTGTCCATCAATTGACAGTTGTATTATGTTCTCCTTCAGTTTTGTTGAAAGTGAAAGAACAAGAACCACCTAACTTGCCAAGGATTGTTACCTGGTCCTTGTTTTTTAGTTTCTGGGAAGTATGTCATAAAGGCTTTACCAAGACTTTGCAAATGTCTGTCAGTTCCCCCTTCTTCCTCTTTTTTTTTTTTTTTTAATATTTCATTTATTTATTCATGAGAGACACAGAGAGGCAGAGACACAGGCAGAGGGAGAAGCACGCTCCATACAGGGAGCCTCATGTGGGACTCGATCCCGGGTTTCCAGGATCAGGCCCTGGGCTGAAAGCAGCACTAAACCGCTGAGCCATCTGGGTTGCCCAAGCACTTCAAAATCCTAATACTGATGACATATGGCACAGGGACAAACTGCCCAACACATCTCACTAACTCCTGGGATTATTACTATTATACCATAGCCTAGTAGCTTACAGTATAACTGTAACTGGGACTTCAAAATGATTAAGTTTAGCAGGCCTACTTGAGAAGATAAAAGAATTTCATGGTCCATTTTAGAAGGATTTTAATAGAAACAATTTATGTAAAACAAATTTCATTGCTTAAAAAAATAAGTCTAAAAAACCCCACTCCAAATTATTCCTTTATGAAGGATGCCTTTTTCTCCTTATGAGACACTGGTAGTCCTCATATAGTATTTCAGTTGTATACTTTTTTTTTTTGATAGAATGATTTTTCTCCTGATTCTTACTATTAGCCCTTTCTGTGGTTTTATTTTTTTTAAAGATTTTATTTATTCATGACAGAGAGAGAGAGAGAGAGAGAGAGAGAGAGAGAGAGAGAGAGAGAGAGAGAGAGGCAGAGACACAGGCAGAGAGAGAAGCAGGCTCCATGTAGGGAGTCTGACATGACTTGATCCTGGGACTCCAGGATTACATCCTGGGCTGAAGGCAGGCACTAAACCGCTGAGCCAGCGGGGCTGCCCCTTTTCTGTGGTTTTATGTAGATGTATCTCAGTTATTTAAAACATCATGTTGAAAAATTTGGTTAGTTTGGTTTTGCCTAGCTCTGTGGTCTTCAGAGTGTCATTCTCCAGTGAGTGACATCAGCAGCACGTGGGTAGTTATTTAATTTTTTTTAACCTGGGAGCTTGTTAGGAGTGAAATTTTCAGGGCCCCTTCCTGTATCTGTTCAGGCTGAAACTCTGGGAGAGCAGCTCAGCAGTCTGGTTTAATAGCCCTTCATGTGATTCTGATTGATGCAAGCTAAAATTTGGGAATTAACTGGCTTACCTCCTGTCTGATTTCTTTAAAGATTTTTTTTTATTTATTAGAGCAGGGGCAGAGGGAGAAGGAGCAGTAGGCTCCCTGCTGAGCAGAGAGCCCAGATGAGGGGCTCTTTCCCAGGACCTTGAGCTTATGGCCCGAGCTGAAGGCAAATACTTAACCAACTGAGGCACTCTGGTACCCCCCTTCCTGTCTGAATTAATTCTAACAATTATATTTGAATTTAGAAACTCTGAAGTCCGGAGAAATTAAATGACTGGCTCATAGGCACAGTTCTGTTTGATAGCAGGGATGGGTCAAGAACCTGAATTATTTTATTTTTTAAAATATATTATTTATTTATGAGAGACGCAGAGACATAGGCAGAGGAAGAAGCAGGCTCCCCACAGGCAGCATGATGCAGGACTCCATCCCAGGACCCCAGGATCATGACCTGAGCCAAAGGCACATGCTCAACCACTGAGGCACCCAAGTGCCCCTATTTAGTTTTTAAACAAATTTTTTTTAATTTACAGTTTTAAATTATTTAAATTATATATCAATATTTCTCATAAATTCAGACATAAAAATCCTTAAAATGTATGAACAAGTGGAAACTACTCATGAGAAGGATAATATATTATGATGAAGTACAGTGAATTTTAGGAACGTAGGGCAGCCCGGGTGGCTCAGTGGTTTAGCGCCGCCTTAGGCCCAGGGTGTGATCCTAGAGACCTGGGATCGAGTTCCATGTCAGGCTCCCTGCATGGAGCCTGCTCCTCCCTCTGCCTGTGTCTCTGCCTCTCTCTCTCTCTGTCTCTCAATAATAAATAGATAAAATCTTTAAAAAAAAAAATTTTAGGAATGT